TTATTCACCATGTCCACCAGGGCCACCTCCTGCTGGTCCTTCCCATATAGTCCAAGGGAGACGCTCAGGTGGCACAGGATGGCATTGGACTGGATCAGGATGAGGTCTCTGTCCTGGGACTTGGAGAGCTGCCCATACAGACAGGAGGCCTTGAGAGGGCCCTGCAGACAGTTCTCTTTGGTTCCCCAGCTCCTCCTTCCAGCTCTGACCCTGGTCAGCCAGCATCATGCACATGGCCTCGCAGTGCCTTCAAACAGGGAAGTACAATAGACGATGGTGTAGGGCCTCTCTCTTGCAGCGTAGACAAAAGTGGTGGCGGCGGCAGTGGCAGATGCGCTCAAGACCAGATAACTTTCACTGGCGAGCTTAAGTTTAGCCCAATCCCCAGTAGGAATTAGAGCCCATGAGAAAGTTTGCATCATTTAAATAGAAATAACATAGCCACTGATTTTTACACATATGCATGCAGTGTTGTACATTCCAACAACAGATAAGCTCTATGAAGGAAATGGACAGGGTGCTGAGAAGGCACCACACAGAGAGACCAAATTTAATGTGAAGGTAGAAAAGGCCTCCCTGAAAAAATTACTAAATGAAACCTGAAGGTGGTAGGAGCTGTTGAGTCACCATAAAGCCTAAGATAAGGCGAGAGAAGTCCAGGGAAACTTAAGCAAGAGCAGAGTGGCTGGGGATGGGGCTGAGAGTTAAACAGGAGCAAGAACACACTGGAGGTAAGATTTTGATCTTCATGGTAAGAACAACAGGAAGTCATCAAGGATTTTAAGCCAGGGAGTTAATGTATTCAAGTTGCCCTTTAAAAAAAGATCACTTACCTTGGCAATTGGATGGGGAGTGACTGGAAACGTGTGTGAACAAAGAAGCAGCCAGACAGTTGCAAAGCAATTTCAGTTGCAAAGTCACCTAGGTGAATAATAAGGGTGGCTTACCCTGGACAGTGGAGATGAAAGGAAATGGATAGATTTAATAATTGGGGAGAAAATACTGAGAGATTTGGTAATGAACTCAGAGGAAACTAGGGAGAAAAGGAAAGGAGGCTGGCTCCTGCTAAGTCAAATGGCACATGAGGAAAAGCTGCCCCATTCTTCAAGCAGACAAAGACCTGTGCTGGGGTACATAGCTTGGCAAGTGGCTGGAGATTGGATTTCAGGCCCCTCCTTGGCCAGGCCTCCTCAGGCATCATTCACCTGCACAGTCACTAGAGATTGGGGGTGGAGGTGGGTTGAGTAGGGTTGGGGAGTGGAGTAGGGTGTGGGGTGTGGGGGTGTGGATGTTAAATGTACAATGTTAATGAAAGGAAAAGCAACTAGTATTAAAGTTAGTCAAGAAGGTTCCAGGAGTGTTGATACTGACCCAGAAAAAGGAGCCAGTAGTTTGGGGTTGCAGGGGGGTTGGTGGGGGAGGTTCACGCTGGCAACTGCTGGCAAACAGCTTCTTGCAGCAGAGAAACAAGGAAAGCCTGAGAAGGGTGGGGAACTCAAGGCTCTGCCTGAGAGGGGGAGGGGGACACTGGCTCAAATGGGAAACTCTTGCTAAACTGAGCAAAGGTTCTCAGGCCCCAGGTATCCTGGCCATCTCCCTGGGAAAACCAACCACCCTTCTTCCTAAGATTAACAGGAGTGGGAACCCTGGAGCCCTTAACGTAATGAGGTTTCCCTACCAGGATGCAGATACTAATTATACATGTAAAATGAGGACCTCACTTATTTACAGCCCCAAGCAAACCATTAATGTAGTTAGTGTCTGGGAATTACACTCAGGCAGTTAAAAATAAATGATTGTCTCCAACTAGGTCCAAACAAGAAACCAAATGTCTGGTTGGCTTATTCGGATTTCGGCAAAATCAATCCTACTCTTGTAGATCTTACTGGATCCTACCCTAACCCAAAAGAAGCCATGTATTGTGCTTCTCTTCCATGTGGATTGCACAGTCACTGTAGAATTGCAGACTTTGGGAATGGGGGTGATGATGCAAGACATGTTTTCATTCATGAAAAAAAGGGAAAGGGTGTGGAATTTGCCCTGAAAGGAAACATTCTATGGCTGGAACTGGTTGGACTCTCTGTTTGTTTGATATAAAAATGAGGCCTCTAGATGTGGAGAAATTGGACCTCTCGTACATTGCTGATGGGGATGTAAGAGCATGTAGCCGCTGTGTGGCAAACAGCTTCGCAGTTCCTCAAAATGTTAAACATAGAGGTACCACAGTTACCGAGCAGGTACAGGTATAGGACCTAGCAGTTACACTCCTAGGCAAATACCCAAGAGAAATGAAAGCATATGTCCACACAAAATTTGCATAGGAATGTTCATAGCAAAAGCACATACCTCAATAAAGTTGTTAAAAATAAAAAGAGAAGCCTCTGAGCACATGCTAAAAGTGTCTGAAAATTACTTGGAAAGGTAAGGTAAAATAAATACAAAATTTCAGCTATAATATGAGTTGGTTCTGGTGGAATTTAGGCAATGTAAAAAGGAGAATGTTCAAAAACAGTTCTACTTGGGGTGGCGGGGCGGGGCGGGAGCTGGCCCCCGCCCAGACTCTGGCCCTGGCCCGAGCTGCCGGTCTACGTGGGGAGTATGGGGATCGGTTTTGGCAGAATCACTGTCATTTATCATTTTCCTCCCTACAAGGAAATGACGCAGTCCCAAACTTGATAGAATATTCATTCTGCCGGCATTAATGAAGCTTATACAGCACAGTAATAACAGCAGTAGCTATGATTTTTGTGTGTCATGTTGCACCAAGCTTTGTGCCTAAGTACTAGGGATACAAATAACTATAGTTATTTATTACCAACCTACTTTACAGATGCAGAAACTAAGGCTCAGAAAGGTTGGAACTTATCTAGGTCACACAACTAGTGACAATCCATCAAGTCCAGGTTTCCTCCTAAATATCTCTTAAGCCCACCGTTTCCTTTTTCTTACCGGCACCATCCCGCCCCAGACCCCTTCATCTCTGCCCAAGACTGCTCTAGTCTCCCAGCTGGGCTCCAGGGATCTGTTTCTGTCCCCCTTCAACCTATTCTCCTCACTGTGTAAAGATTTTACCATTGGAGCTGGGTGATAGGTTTAAAGGGGATTCACTTTGTAATTGTTTCATACTTTACATATATGTTATCAAATTTTTGGATGTATTTAATGGTTAATAAAAATGTTTTAAAGGATTTATTTCTTTATCGCCAATAGCAAGCCCAGTGCATTGCACGTAGTATGAGCCCAAAAAGTATTTGTTGAATGAATGACTAGTAGGGCCAGGAACTGACTCCAAAATCCTGCAATATAAAGGAATAGAAGGGTTTATAATATGTCACCCCAGTCTCCTGACCTTAAGGTCTACTAAGGGTAAACCAGATTAATAATATTTGTTCAGCAAATTTTTACTATATTTCTATTCTGTGATTTGGCACTGTGTCAGGCACTGAGAATCAGAAATGAACAAAACAGTTCATTTTATGGTCAATCTAATGTGAAAGGCAGGAAAGGCCTTGAGCCTTAGGCTAAGCCTCAAAGAGAGACTAGAAATTGGGAGATAACAATAAGTTACATGGAGAAAGATGTAAGGTAAGAGGTCAGCATGAGTGTGTCAGTGTTCCCCTACTTTTGGGGTCTAACCCTCATGCAGGGGCATAGAAGTATCCAGCTGAGGGGAGGGGGGAGTGCTAGAAGCCCACTTCCCCTGGCCTAGCTTGGAAGGCAGCCCAATTCTGGCAGAAGTCTCACATGGAGCAGGACTGTGGAACACAGAGCAGCATTGGGAAGGGAGAAGGATCTCAAAAAATGCTGCTTGGTGTCCACAACTTGCACCTGGTGTGCCAGAAAACGAGCCTTCTCTGCATGCTTCCTGCCAGGCAAATAGAAAGAACTGTGGACAGGACAATGGGCACTGTGCCGGGAGCCAGGTGCTCACATGAGGCAATGGTGGACTCATTGGCAGGGAATGGCTGGAGAATGTGGCTANAAAAAAAAAAGTACAGTCCTGACCGTAAATAGCCTTCATTTCCAAATAAAATAAGAGACTCCTGATGGCCTAAATAGCCAAAACAAATAAGGTTGCATACATCAGGTTTCAAAAGTCAATTACTGTCCGGAGTACTATCCTGTTGACTCTGATGTTAGAAATCGTATTTGGCCTTCACAAGGGGCACCCAATGGCAGATTTGGGGACGTTGCCCCTGTAATCAATTCTCAGATTCCTTCAATGCAAGTGAACAGGGGTTTTTTTAGTTGGGAGGGATGAGCAATCTTGCATAAATTGACCTTGGCAGTGAAACATACCACATGTGTAATAACTTTTATTCTCCAAACGTCTCCAAACTCATACTTCATATGACCATTATGTCTCGCCTTATATGCTTGTAAAATGCCTTGTTCATATGTTCAGGGCAAATCTATCCAGGTTCGGTGTTTCCCAGCTAAGCAGCAATAATGTCAGAACAGCCATAAATGTGCCTGGAGCAGAATTGTTCACGTGACAAAAGTAACAAAAGAGGGGAAACTGGCAGGGAATTTTCCCTGATGCTTTATTTTCTATTCACTGTAGATAAGACCAAGTAGAAAATTTGAGTAGTCAGAGTTCGTGTATAGAATGAATTTGGGTCTTGGGGTGGCCAGTGAGCTCAGGTGCTTAGAGCGCAGGCTCATAACACCAAGGTTGCTGGTTCGATCCCCACAAGGGCCAAGGAGCTGTGCCCTCCACAACTAGATGGAAACAACTACTTCCCTTGAAGCTAATGGGTCCTGGAAAAACATACTGTTCCCCAATTAAAAAAAAAAAAGAAAAGAAAAAGAATGAGTTTGGGTCTTGATGGTCCTAAATGCAGGTAGTCTGTTTTTTTTTTTTTTATCATATACTTCAATTTATTGACATTGTCAATCTAGGAACAAGACAGGTATATTTTTTCATGAAGTGTGATCGTTTTCAATCTGCCGTAACATGTGACCACACATCTTCACCTTGAAAATGCAGTGTTTCCAGCTTTAGTCAGGATGGATTACTCCTTTTTCACTTTCACAATTTTTACGCTGCTGCCAGAAGTCTTTTCGGCATTTGCTTTGAATTCTGTTTTCAGAGCATCGCTCACTGCTTTTGCACAGATCTGGGAGTATCGGATGTAGCTGAGTCCAGCCTGTCGCCAGTAAGCCACCATGATGTCACGAGAGTGGGCTTGTCGGGCCAAATCGCGAGGACGCGTCAATGTCGGCTAAGCGCGCAACCCAGCGGCCGGAAGGTCGCAGGTAGTCTGTTTTAAAGTAAAAATCAAATCATAATTTTGGGTATGATAGCTGGGAAAGCTTTTTTTGACCCTTAATTGTACTGTGGTACTGTGTTGACCTTAATATGTTGTATAAAAGATTAATTTATGCAACGACATAGGATTAAGAAGCTGTGCCTCGCCTCTCCTTTCGTTACCCCATCTCTCATAACTCTCTCCTTTTAGACATGGCATTTATAGCAGCTAAGCAGACTTCATATGGCAGACTTCAAATGGAGACTCACAACTCCAGTTCTGATAGCAACTTTGGGTAGAATGGGTGTTTTTTTAAAAAGATTTTTATTGGGGAATTGGGGGAAGGGGAACAGACAAGTTGCTGTCCTTTTGTTCTTCAGTCTAGTTGTGGAGGACGTTGTTTCACTGGCCCAAGTTGGCACCATCATTGCGCTCTTCCTGGGCGAGGCAGATCAGTCGCTGGCTTCTGGACGGCGGCTCACTGCGGCTGCTGGCCGCTCACGCTGCTGCTGACTACACACTGTAGCCCATGGCAACCCACTGCCACAGGGGCTGCAGCCTACGCCGTTGACTCACGGCAGCCCAGCTCCAGGTTGAGCTGTTGTTCAGCATCTTAGCTGTGGAGGGCAGTGTCACTGGCCCTCATATGTGGGATCCGAACCGGGGCTCTCTGGTGTCCCAAGCCAGCTCTTAACCAACGCGCTACTCGGCTGGCCCTAGAATAGGTTTCTTGAAGAAAGGGGTTTATGTGAAGTTTTAAAAATATCACAACTTTATTGAAATATAATTCATATGTCATATAATTAACCCACTTATATACATTTTGATAAAAATGGGATAATTGCAAATGTGAGGGTGAGGGTACAGGTAGGGGTTAGGGATAGCTGCAGCCAAGTAAGTCAGGAATAAAAGATTGGGCTGCAGTCTATTAGGACTTCCACTTAGCATAACAAGAGAGGCAGTAGCTGTGAACCAAACCAGGGCTCACTACAGGACGTTGGGGGCTTTATAATATCCCTGTTCCCTTTTTCCCCCAACATATGCCTTTTGCTTCCCATAGTGATTAGTAGATAAATAAATATTCATTACCTACTCTGTGCCAGGCACTTTGCCAGGTCCTGGGGATAGAATTAAGTTAATAAGACAGACTTGGTACTCAAGGAGTGAAAAATAAATCTATTTGGGGACTCAGGAAAGGCTTCGTAGATAAGGCAGCTTTTGAGCTAGACTCAGAAGCAAGAAGAGGGTTGCTACTGACCCTAAATTTAGACAGAAACCCAAAACCTAATAATAAGGTCAGGGAAAGTCACTACCTGTTATGTAAGATGCAAGAAATCATTAAAATTATGATTTAACAAATATTGATGAAACTTTTCAGTTCCAGGCAAGTTCAAAATAGGCCATTTGTCATTGGCACTCTACCTTCTAGCCATTTTCTATCTCCTTTCCCTTTCCAGTGATCTCAGGCTTTCCAAAAGTATCCACTAAGGCATCTTACCCCAGCTGATCCTATCCCCTGAACTGGATTCTTGGCTAGATAGATTCTTAGACCTCTCCAAATAAGAAATGTTTCCTGACTTTGAAGAGTCCATAACCTTGGAGAGGGAGATAAAGAGTCAAGTAAACAGAAAAGTACTTTGACAAAGGTATATCAAGTGAGTACTGGGGGCATAGAAGAGGTCATCTAAGTCAGACTTAGGTGGGGATAGAGTGGTCACCGAAGCTCCCATGAGGAAGTGAACCCTAGCTCTTTCAGAGAACACGTGGGAAGTTACAGGCCACGCATTCCAGGAGAAAGAAGCCAAGGCACAGAGATGGGTAAGCCCATGAAGCATTTCTTCCCACCTCCCTACCCCGCTCAAGATTTGAGGAATTTCATATTGTATTTACTTTGGCAAGAAGCAAAGCCTTCCTCTCTCCCTAAACAATTCAGACCTCTCTCCCTGGTTCTTAACAGCCAGCCAAATATATGAACTATAGTGTCAACCAATTGTTTCCAAGAAGAATTTCAATTAAGGGTTAAGTGAGGCAAAGATAAAATCTTTAGTAATTATGGGGTGTGGGCATGGATGTTCTATCCAGATCATTTCAGCTTGAAGATCATTGTTGTGTGTATCAAGTGTCTCGACTGATTTAGATTTAACAGTCATCAAATACAGTCATAACCGAAGCCACAGAAGTGGATAAAATTACCCAGGAAGATTATCTGCAGGGTAAGAAGAAAGCCTGATGATTGAGGATTTACAAAAGAGGTAGAGGAAGGGCCCGTGAAAGAGATCTAAAAGGAAAATTGTGATAATAGCCAAGACAGGAAAAATATAATCAACAGCATCAAATTTTGTAGGGAGTTGAATAAGATAAGGGCTTTGGATTAGCAATAAGATGTAATTGGTACTCCTGGCAAGAGTGATTTCTGTAGCAGTATGAGTGTGTGAGCCAGACTGCAGTGTATTAAGAAGTGAGGCCAAGGAGAGACATTTAGAAAAGTGAGTGGAATTAGAAGGGAACTTAGGGCTGCAGAAAGTATTTTAAAGATGGGAGAGGCTGGCATTTGTTGAAATGCTACGGGAAAGTGCTCATAGAAAGAGAGGTTGAAAATCAGAGAAGGAGATAGAGGGAAGTCCCTAAGGTGCCAGGTGAGTGGGATTCAGAGTTTAGATGGAGGGAGGACATCTAAGTCATGAAGAAGACAGAGGATAGGAAATAAGTACGGAAGGGCAACATGTTGAGAGAGTTTCTACCTCATGTCTTTTCAGCCTTTGAAGGAGAAGGCAAGATCAACTGCTCAGAATGAAAGAGAAGACAGTGGAGCGCTCCAGGGGAGTGGTAATGAGCTGTTATGGAGAAAGGGAAAAGAAGGAGAGTAGATGCACAATGAAGGCTTGCCAAGAATACTGCTCTGTTGAGGTTTGAGATCACAGAATTTTAGAGGTATCATTTGCAGCTAATTGATTTTCTCTACCAGTGCTCAATAGCTTGGGAGTAGGAGTAGAGGAGGTCAACAATTGGGTTGATACACACGTAGGCAGCAGGAGAGTAAGTGGAATGGAAGATCCAAATGGGAAGCAGATGTTGCGTGCTGCTGAGGGTGGTTGGAATGATATTATAATTATGGAATGCAGGCGGGAGGGGATAATGGGTAACCCAGGGGCCTGCATGAAGACATGTTAGAAAATTGGAGATCTGGATAAGGTCACAAAAAAAGTCATGGAATGAGAGAGATAGAAGGAAAGGAAGGCTGTAGTAAAATACAGAAAGGCTTTAGAGTTTAATTTTCATAGGAAAAATAATTCTGAGTGATGAAACAATCTAAGACATGGCCTGTGTGTTACTGGAGTGCACAGGGGTGAAGGTCTGTTGATTAGAGGTCAAAATCATGTGAGACTAGAGCAAAGGGATGGGTCCTATATGCTGAAATGACCCAGGATAATGGTAGAAATCAAAATTAAAGAGCAAGACTACGAGTCAGATATCAAATTTGCTAATAAACAACATTGTGAATGGTAGGTATAAGGAAGCTACCAGTTGAGAAGTGGAATATGCAACACACTAGGACATTAGTGTAATGTGATTTCCATGTCTCAGCAAGCAGCCTTTCCCTATTGCTACGGATTTCCCCACATGACACAAAGCTTGTGAAGGATAGGGCCTGTCTCATTTGATGTATTAATCCCACAGCACCCTGCCCAGTGCTTGGCAACTATTGGAAAGAAGAGACCATAGATCTCTTTACCCCAAAAGGGGTGATTTTTAATTCCCATTCACACAGTTCTCAGTACCTGGAATACCTAGAACTTCCTCCATCACATTATAGGACTGTCTGTTCACATGTCTGCTTCTCCCATCAGTCTATGAGGACAGGGACTGTCACACTCATTGTTGCAATCCCGGAGGAAACATTTATTCTGCCTGAACCACATCAAGGATTTCAGTGTTTGTCAAATAAATTAATGAATGAAATCTTTAAGCTGTAAAAGACTATAATCCTGATGAAGCACCATTGTCAAGTACTGTGTTAAGTGCTTTTACATTCTAATTTAATGCTCACAACAAGCTTAAGTGGGAAGAGGGGAAACTGAAGTTCAGAAAGATTAAATAGCTTGCCCAAAGGCACACTGGTAGTAAGTCTTAAAATTGGCATTTGAACAGTTATGACTTCAGAACCTATTTTCCCATTATGTTGCCCCAAATCTAGTCTAAGTGTAACAAGTAGGACATTTTAGAATACCAGGTTTAGTGGATTGCCACAGTGCTAACTTCATTATCAGGGCTGATTTCCAAGGGATTTTTCTTTTGTTTTGTTTTAAGTTGCTATGTGTGCTAGTCCTGTGTTCTCTGAGAAGCAGATGGCAAAACGAGATAAAACATGCAAGGATTTTCATTAAAATGTGCAAGGAAAGGCCCTGGGAGGGAAAACATGGAGGTAGGAAGCCAGAGAAGGCTGGGAGAACCGTTAGATCCTAGAAGCAGGTGAAGGAGAAAGGGGAAGAAGGTTGGATAGAAGCATCCTACATTGCCATGTAGTCTAACGAAGGTTATACAAAGCCAGAGTCCCGGAGTCAAAAACCACCATCAGAAGAGACCAGACTCCGAGGAACTGGTGTGCCTTCATATCGGTCACAAGTCATTGGCTAGAAGCAACTGGTGGGAGGTGTGGCCTCAGTTCAAATGCAAGATGGATTTCAAAGCCAGCCCTGGGGTATTAATTGGTCAATTATGCTCCCTGTGCTTGGAGGTAAGTCAGGCCCATTTCCACAGCTGCCACACACCAGAAAGCTTCTTGAAGGGTTGCTTTCTGTTTTGTTTTACCTCCTCTATTTGCTCACCTCAGGACACTGAACTCCTAAAAGTCTTATCGTTTTTGGTTATCAATCACCAAGTTTTACTAGAATGAAGTGTGTGTATTAAACAATACCTTTTAAAATTCTCTGTCCTCTTCCCATTTGGACAAGATGCCTCCTTTTATCACATTTTCTCTGAATAAAAAGATAGAAGCTCTCAAAGCCTTGATTCTTTGGACTGATTCCTCTTTAGGACTTTGGTAATTGTACATCTGTATGGATTATGTTTGTCAAACTCTGACTACTGCTTTGAGCTGTTTTGAACAGGATCTTGTAGTCATAAAATCATAATTGATACTTTTATTCATTAAAACATTAAGCACCTTTGTGCCAAGCATGGTATTAGAATACAAAGGTGAACAAGTGATTTGTGAGTCTTAACTTATAAAGGTGAGTGAGTGACGACATGGAGAAGTCAATGCCATCGAAGGACAAGTTAAAAGTTACTTATAGTTCGCCTGGAAACAAGAGGTGCGGCATGCCACGCAGGGCCAGAGGAGAAGCACCTGTGTCAATCAGGAGATAGAAAGGAATGAGGGGAAGGTAGAGGCCACAGACTTTATTGGGGTCTCCATGGGAAAGTCGAGGGCAGGGTAAACAGTCTAGGATTGGCTAGTTTGAATAATTGTGGCTGACTTTGACATATAGGGGCTGTTGTTTGGTACCTTGTCTCAGGATGATTGAGTGCAAGGGAACATTGTCTTTGGTGTGTGAGTTAAAAAAGGTGGCTGGGGGAGAAGGACAAAGGATCTGTTTATATATGAAAGGTAGGTTCGCTGATAAGTTGTTTACTGTCTCTAGAAATTAACTACTCCTAGAGGTGGGGGACAGTCTCTCTCCAGCCATCAAGATCCTCCAAAGATGTCAAACATCATAAAATATAGAAAACTAAAAAGACCCCAACATAATTAGGAAGATCCTTTTCGTTTTCTTAATCTCCATTAACAGTTAAACAGCAGAGAAACAGAAGGCAGGTATAGCCCATTTTTCTCTTAGTCCACTTAAGAGTACAGGTGATTTTTTAAAAGAGAAACTTTAAAGTATAAGAGGCTCTTACTCTTTGCCCATTGTCTATGGTTTTCCAAATATAAGCTAACAAATACTTTCAATTCCTTCAACTCCTGCCTTCGCACATCGCATTTTTGTCCTGAACCGGTTGCATGGAGAAGGAACCAACACTCATATTCTCTTCTGTGCCGAAACTGTGCTTACCCGTCAACATACGTCCCTTGGCTACTGAGGAATTAAGTCAAATGAAAACACCTTTAACATGTATTATTTAAGAAGCCCTCTAACTTGCCATTTTACTTTAATGGCACTATTTTAAAAACTAAGCACAAATAGCTAAGCATTGCAGTGCTTCTGTATCTTTTCAAAATTTTACTCTTCTAATATAAAATCAGACATTTTCTCTCCAGTAAATATGTCCTTTGACAACTGAAAAAATTTTTTTCTTAAGCCCTTTACCCTTGATATTACCTCTTATTAATGGATACTTTTGAGAACCAAAAGAACACGAGAGTGCAAATGTTGAGGACCATTTTCTGGTAATTAAATTTTTTTGAACACAAGTAACACTTCCATGTGGTTGAAACTAAAATATTGATTATATATATTTATACATAATTACATTTAATTATACATATATGATTATGCCATGAAGTTTCCTTTATACTTGTCCCTCAGCCACAATTTCCTTTCCTCATACACACGTTTTTTGTTTCTTGTTTATTCTTCTAGTTGCTTTATGGACATAACAGTAAATACACACATATATTAATAAGTATTTTCTTCCATCCCTTTTTCCCACAACCACTTGGATATATTTAAAACAGAACAAATTTTTGGTAAACAAAATTTAATACAACCATGTAGTCAAGTAATAATGGTTTATTAGATACATTAGATACAACTTTTAAAAAATACTATGCACAAAGTATATTTAAACAAAATATATAAGCATTAATGTGCTACAACTGAATTGAGGAGAAATACAAAGCCTTTTTTTTTCACTGTGAAGACTCTGTAGCCTCTAATTGAAGGCAAATGACATTTGGCCGCCAAAGATCTGTAAAAGTTGTAAAGCATATTATACTTTTGTTCAACTTTATAATTGTGTTGTCTCAGCTCCAGAAATTCTTAACAAAATTTTAAATAAACCATGGGAAGGGTGATTGGAAAGGGAAGAATAAGAACTTTTTCAAGGAAGTTAAATAAGAAAGTCTGTAGAGAAAAAAGAAATAGTACATAATAGAACAAAAATAAGTAGACTTCCTTTTTTGACATTAGATGTAGATACTGCAAGTGATGTTTACAAGGGCTTAATCAATGTAGGATAGATGTTTTTCTGAATATCGTAAAAAGCACCTTGGTATCAAAACCAAAAAAATATAATAAAACTCCAAACACCCCCAAACCTCTCTCAACATTCTCACTTGGCCAAGCAACCACACAATTGGTGCTCATTACAAAATTTAAGAAGGACTGAATGGAAAAAAAAATTTTTAAAGAAATTTATTTACTCTATAGGAAACGAATGTGAAACCTATTTAAGGTAAGCTTTATTTAGATTGAAAGTTGAAATAGCACTAGAGAACTTAAGGCACAAATTCAGATGCAGTTATTTTTAAAACATTAAACAATTCTTTTCTTTGGAACAATATACAAAATAAGTTATGAGTTGTTTTTTAAAAAAATTATTTATGATGATCATCTCTAGCACTAAGTAAATTTAATATCTAGGCAATCACACAAATGTAAAATATTCATATAAAACACTTAAAAATGTTTGAAGTATGTTGAAAATGTCTCTGGAATTATCAATTCACACTCCTGGCTCAAGTGGTTTCTGGTGTTTAGCATTAGATATGACAAAAAGTATAGCTAGCTAGTCAAACCTACTGCCTTGAAGGTCAACCACATTGCCCCGTTCTGGTTACGTGGTATGAATGTATAAATTCATTTAACTAAAAAGAATAATTGGTTGAGGTGATGTAAACCTGGCTTTCAATACAATGAACAAATTCTAATAAGGCCAAAATTATGTGGTGTATTGAGTTTACTAAAATAAAGGCAGTCTATACAAACGAAGCCTTTAGGAGACATTATATCTTATCACTTGGCACCACATAAACAGCAAGCTCTCCTCTTTGAAAGTACAGTCTGAAGTAGATGTCTTTCCCACATATAAATCTCAAGACACAACAGGCACACATAAACAATTTAACCCCTCTCTTTTCATGTATGGGTTCTCACAGCAATTAAACAGATCTATTGCCATATCCAGACAACAGGAAGAAATACACACCTGGTTTGTATATTGACAAAAGTAGTATATAATTGAACCTTTGTCTTTCCTGAGTTTCAAAAAGAGTATTTGACAGTAGAGATACATAAACAATTCATATTCGCTAAGAGAAAATGTATCAGTCCACAAAACATTTTCGTCTTTCTAAATATAGAAGAATGAATGTTCAACCACTGCCATGTGAAGCCCCTTTTCCCAATTAAATTTACTCTAGAATAATGAACAGAAGGTTCCTTAGTTATGGCACTTTAAACACCCCAAATAGGCAAAAATGACAAGTTCATACCCTCCCTGAGTATATACATCATTTTTCCTTAACACCTTGTTTAAGTGGAGTAAATATCTATATTTTAGTCATCTAGGAAAAAAAAGGTTACTGAAGATCCAATAGGCTGCCATTTCATACCTGTGCTATAGTCAGTGGGAAGATTAGAGTAGAAAACGAAGGTCTTCTAATGGTAAGAATTAGATCACTGTCTATAGTTCACTCACATAATAGGAACACGTGGAAAAGAATTAAAGTTCATGAAAGAAACAAACTGTACTTTTCTGTTGATTCACAAAACATACCCTTCAATTCCCTTTCCCACTGAGTGGGTTTAGCAAGTGCATCTCCACCTCCAATTTGTTTTCTGACTTTGTAAAACCGTATGTATTATATAGATTCTAACTGCATACACGTCATCAGATTAATACTCATCATGTACTTTCAAATGTAAAAAAGTATTCTAGAAATGCCCAAATAAAAGATCTTCTGGAATTAAATTTAATAAGCTCAATTAATTTTTAATTTATGTGCTTTTTTTCTGATCACTACAAACTGATACATTTCTTGAGAGTTTGTGTATGTGTACATGATCATACTATGTTATGTTCCACACATGGATATATATATATATATATAATATATATATATATATATATATATATATTATATATACTAACCCAAAGGCTTATATGAACATTACTTATCAAATTTGTCAACTATGTGATGACAGTATGAATAAAATCTGACACAAATTTGGTTGATATATTCCTTTTGATATAATTAACCCTAAAATTCCTTATTTTATCAATGTTAACACCATTATTTATCAAAACTCAGTAAAGAAAGGTAAATAATTAAAGGAAATTAAACTGTCATTTGAGTAACTTTAAAAATAGTTACTTTAATTTCCTAGCACTTAAGCTTAGTTTTTGGTGGCCTACTTAATTCATGTAGTTTTAAATTATGTAGAGAAAAAAATTAAACAATACAGGTGTAAGGTCTATATGTAAACAAATTCTGTTCTACCAGATTTCATTTCAAATTTACTACAATGAAGACATGGATATTAAAAAAATGAATAATACCAGTAAATAGTTAATACTTTTACAATAGACAAAAATACTAGAATACAAGTTATCTTGAGAAAGTTTTCTTTTGTGTGTGAAGTGTCTGTATTTATGGTTGGACATGATCTTACAAATAAACATGAAATAACAAGTATCATTTGTATAATCCTCAGCATTTACACTTTTCTCATACATTACCTCATTTTCTGCAAAAAATTTTCTGAACTAAATAGGTTCCATTATCTACAAAAGGTATTAATGCAAAAAGTAGATGTTTACTTGCAAATTAAAATAAGTATCCTAATTATACCTACAATTGTTTCAACTAAAATGACAGAGTATTGTTCTTTGAATTGCTGATAATTATCATAAAAAGGTATGTATCATTTCAAAGTATGATTTGAAAGTAAAAATTCCCTAAAAGTGTGAACGTTTTTTAGTTTTCTTCAGAATTCAGATTTCAGCTAAGCATTCAAGTTGATGCCATAGTTTATTTGAAATCTCAGTATCATTCTAAGATGAGAGAAAAAAAGTAGTTTATCAATGTTTGTTCAATTCCTACCTTGGTTTTTACAGAATTCTGGTGACACTATAATCACATATTTTCATCATCTCTCCTAAGACAAGGAGTATATAATTATAATGTAGATAACAATAGTGCCTGGGAAGTCAAAATACAGCAGGCTACCTGGAACATCCCTAAAATGTTGTAAATTATATCTGTCCACCCAGGAATAACAATAATCAATTATGCTGCAGTGCCTGCCATTCCATCTACCTTAGAAAAAATTTTACATTCCTCTCTGGAAACTAGCAAGCTTTATAAACCAGAGTTGTAAAATGTAGACAAGGGCAATTTGTTGTATAGAAGCTTGAGAATGTTGATCAGTATTTTACACAATGCGTACCAAATGACAGGTTCATCTTAGAAGACTGCATACTGCTGTTAGTTTTTTCAGATAGCTAATTTTAAAAGAAAAATGGACCCATTGAGCTAGGTGGTCCCTGGTTTATCCTTTAAAGGCAACTTAACAGTAGAGACTACCAGGATTTTTAGCTGTTCACAAGCAAGTCGGATAACCAGGGAGGAGGTCCTCACCCAAAGCACCATACTGATGAGGTCAAACCCTACGGGGCTAGGGAGAAAACATATCCCTGTTTTTCACAAGATAATATTGCAAAATGAACTTCGACTCCTTTGCCAGGTTCAAGAAAAGGAGCTTCCTTAGAGGATTGAGAGATGCGAGCCACAGTGGGTCGTTTTCCCTTCAATGGGTCTTAAATAATTTTTTCCTAGGAATAAACCTGATATTTTAATCCCAATTTTAGGGGCATCTGCTTTTCTATCTCCTACCCAATCTCTTCCCCAAAATATATTTAATATAAGACAGCAATTGTAAGAACGAAATCATGGTAATTCAATATTTTATGATATTCAAATTGTTGTCACCATATTTTTATCAATTACAGAAAATCTTCAGTAAAATTAATCAGCTTGGATATATTTTTAGTGACAATGATTTTTAAAACTTATTTTCTTCCCCCTTAGAATGCATTCATTCTAAGCATTATGTGATTCAACCTAAATGAAGCCTAGTCATAAAATTTTTTATATATATGACAAAATAAGAAATATAGTCTTGCTGATAAATACACAAAAATGAAGAGACCAGTCACAAATTCCTAAAATGTATGCAGACATTATTTCCTATTCCACATAAGTTTCTTACAAATACTTACAAAGGTACAGTCTCAAAGCCCAAGCAATACCGCTATTACCTTCAACAACAACCAACCCCTCACCTCTTTTTTTCAATTACAGGAAAGGCTTTATTACAGTTTGAAAGATTGATATTTTGGGGAGAAAGGACCACAATTATTATTTTTAGGTTTTATGCATTTGGCACAAAGGAGACACGCCAAATTCCAACTCTGGAGTTTTTAAAATCTCTCATCTTGGATCAGTGTGGCCTCTTGGGTGAAGTATCCTGGCCTTAGAGCTTAAAGCATTTCTCATTGTATCTGTGAATAGTCACACAGCCATGATAGGACACAGGCCTGGGCATTGCAGCTACTCCTGTGATGATACTTGTAGCAGGATCGTAACAGAGAATAGTGTCCGTGGCTTCTCCATTTTCCCGTCTTCCACCCAGGATATATATTTTGCCATTACACACAGACATACCACAGTTTTCCTGTTTAACCAAACACATAAAAAAATAAAAAATAAAAATAAATTAACTGTTGAAGGTAAGGGATCTGTTAGCAAACTGAAAAGTAAAATGAGACATGCTTTAACCCAGTCAAAAAAGGGAGACATGAAGTAAACTCCCTTTTGCCCAACTCCTGCTCTATGTGTGAGTGATACATAATTTTGCATGGATGAAGTGAGTGTTAAGACAGAATACATGTTAGCAATTGGGGCCAAGATGTGAGAGGTGAAGTGGGGGTGGTGGACTGAGAGAAGGGTTTTAACTTAGTGATAGTTGAAAAAAAAAAAATCTTTGAAGAGCTTGGCTTGCTTTTCCTATTACAGGAAGGTCCTTTCTTCCTGTAATAGTGGCTATAATACGTGGCTATAATACGACCAATGAGTAGGAACATTATTCATTATATGAGATTACCCACAAGTTAAATGACAGAGTTATAATCAAATTAACAAAACACTGTTATTATGGGCCTTGGCTGAGACATAGAAACTCCCAAAATAACATTTTACAGTTAACTTTCCACATAATAGGATTCTTAGCTAAATAATACTCTTCTCTGTCAATAATTACTATACAAAACAAATATTCTTGCAAGGATGACTGTTTCTTCAAAGAAAGAAATTACACTACAATTGTCTCACTTGCATGGATCTGGTTATGCTGTAGGTCAGATATTCTTCTATTTGTATTTCATGTCAATTGAGAAAGTTATTGCATATTATTATCCTGTTTCCACAGAACCAACGAGATGGTTCTACTGAGTACAGTAAACATTTTTCACTTGAGCAGATTTGTTATATGTATATAAAATTTGCTCTTGTAGAAAAAAAAATCTTGGTGAACTTATATAATAGGGGATAGTATCTTTAGGTACAGAAGAATTAGTGAGTACTTAAAAATGCCTATATTAGAGTTTTTATATACCCAGAATGACTTGGCCCATTATCATTAGTGAATGACAAACTTTTATCCAGAATACCACCCATGAACTGTACCAATTATGTGCCAAACTATAACATTTTTCATCTAAAGCACAATGAGCTCTTTCTATAAATTCTAAAAGTTCCGAATACAATAAAAAACAATAACAACATCCTTAGTTTTCAGGTACAAGGTACCTCACACTAATGAACCTTAGTTCCATTGATGATGATTCTTAAACTATATAATTGTAGGATCTTATTAATATCATTTCAGATAATAATGCTCAGAATTAAATGAAATAAGCAACCTTAAAAACAGTTATTCATTCATATCAGAAAATTACTTGTACTAGATATAGTAGCTTATTTTGCTCTCTGAGAATCACATAGTAATGGCAGCTAGTAAGAAAAATAATTTATCAATACATGAAGTTATTTTTCAAGACTATGAAACATGATCCTCTCTTCAATTATTATTATTTTTAAACAATGCTTACTACAACAATAAAGAAAAAGAAATCAGATTTAAAAAAATTCATTATCTAAACTTTAATGACATCTTAATACCTGGTATATTGAAGGAGGACAAAAAAAAATCCCACAATTTTTAAAAGGATGTTTCTGATAAAAGTTAAAAAGCAAAATATGTTTAAAATAGCAAGTTGTGTCTTTTAGGAATTATGCAAAGTCAAGAAGCATAATGACGAGGGGCAGAGAAAAAGGCTGGGTCCATTCGGACTACAAAACTAGAGCTCATTTTTTCAGCTCTTTTTTGTCATTCAGTAGTCTAAGCATTTAAAAATAACATATCCTAGGATTCAACTGTCTACCATGAAATTACAGTTAGCTTATCCTTTTTCATTGATTAGCATGAAAAGCATAGGCAAACACTTACAGATGGTTCAAAATTTGCCTATCAATAATGTATACATAGGTATACTTAGAGGTACTAGTAAGTAGTAAGAATGGACAGGGGAGAAAAGATAATCCCAGAAATCTCAGTATTTTTTGCTTTAAGAGATTTGATATATTTCTGATCTAAATGTTTTGTCCTTGAAATTTCTGAAGTCAATGGTATTCACTGCTTAATTAGAGGAAATGTACCATGTGTATCCTGTTGTTTTTTTCTCATTCAGTTAAGAACATATGGAATCTAAGGAAAAAATAAATGAACAAACAAAACAGAAACAGACTCACAGATACAGAAAACAAACTGATGGTTACTAGATGGGAGGGAGGGTGGGAGGCTGAGTGAGAAGGGTGAAGGGATTAAGAAGTACAAATTGGTAGTTATAAAATAATCATGGGGATGTACAGCACAGTATGGGGCATATGGTCAATAATATTGTAAAGACTATATATAGTGTCAGATGGGTACTAGACTTCTTGGGGGGGATCACTTAATGAATCATACAAATGTTAAACCACTATGCTTTATATCTGAAACTAATATAATACTGAATGTCAACTATAATTTAAAAAAAGTCACAGGTATATAAAGTACAGCATAGGGAATGTAGTCAATAATATTGTAATAACTCTGTAGTATCAGAGGGGTAATAGACTTATTGGGGTCATTGCTTTGTGAGGTATATAAATGCCTAATCACTATGATGTTTTACACATCTGAAACTAAAAAAGAACATAATTACTATATTACCATATGCCTTGCATTATATTAGATGCTGGCAATTATCTTCCTAAGCTCTGTTATCCTTTTATACAGTATAGCCAAGTTCTAAATGAACAGTAATTCTCAGTGAAAGTGCATATTTTAAAATATTTGGCATAATAAATCAATGAAGAATAGCTTGGATCATTGAGCTAAAGAAATGTGGTTCATGAGGGATAGAAGATTATATTCCCTCTGTACCATGAAGCTGAAGATCCTATTATGTCTATCAGTTGGGAAATGTTACTCTGAATACATTACTAATTGGAGACTATACCTTATATGTCAACAACTTTAGAAAAATTGTGTTATATTCAAACCCTATTGATTGTGGTCCACAAGATGAGCACAATTACAGGCAGAGAATGTAGAAAAGGCATTAAGGGCTAAGAAGACAGAATGAATCAAAGCAAGAACACGTAGATATGTATAGTGAATGCAAGTGACAGATACTTAATGTAATTGGGGTAAAGTTGCAGAAAGTGAAGCTGAAAAGGCAAGCAGAGGACAGATAATAGAAGGCCTAGAATGAAGTGGGAAAACTTGGATTTTATTCAGTACATTTCCATCAGAGAGGAGACATAATTACATTTGTTGGAAAAATAACTGGTGGAACAATGGGTTAGAAAAGGAAGACATTAGAAAAAGGAACACTAGATTATTATTGTTTTAGTTTAGGTAAACTCATGAGAGCTTGAATTAAAGCAAGAACAATCGGAACTGAAAAGAATAGGAGAAACTCTGAGGCCATAGAACTGATATGCTAGATTGATTTAATTTAAAAGAAAGTGAGAAAAATCTAAGATATGAAATAATTGGAAATATATATATTTATCTCTGCCCCCATTTCCTGACACAGAGCACCTAAATCCCTTGGAATTTCCTGGGTGATAGGAACATCTTTTCGTTCTAATGAGGCAATTCTGGATGGGCTCCTGGATAGGGGCGGTCACCAGAAAGATCAAGCCATAATTAGAAGCCTGGAACTTTCAGCCCTACCCCCCATTCTCTGGAGAGGGGAGAAGGGCTGGAAAATGAGTTAATAATTGGTCATGCTTACATGATGAAGCCTCCATAAAAATCCTAAAAGTACAGGATTTGGAGAGCTTTCAGGTTGGTGAACGCATCCAGGTGCCAGGAGGGTGGCATACCTCAACTCCATAAGGACAGAAGCTCCTATGCTTGGGACACTTCTAGACCTCACCCTTACATAACTACGTGTTTCTGAGTTCTGTGAGCCATTCTAGCAAATTACCAAACCCAAAGAGGGGGTTATGAGAATCATGATTTATAGCCGGTCAGTCAGAAATTCCGGGACAACCTGTGGTTTATGATTGGCATCTGAAGCAGTGGCAGTCTAGTAGAATCTAACACTAACTCCAGGTAGACAGTGTCATAACTGAATTGAATTGTAAGACACCCCAGCTAGTGTTGAAGAATTGATTGGTATGGGAATAAACCCACATATCTGTGTAAGAGAGGAACAGAGTTTTCCATTCACTAGATTGTTTGGAAACAGAAAAAGTAGGCTTGCAGAGGAACACCCATGGACATTATCAAATAGGGAGTTGGAAATTTGAGTCTGGAGCAGACAGAGGCATTAATGGAGGTAAGGACTTGAAGTCATCCTGCCGGTCAGTAGATGAGATCCTTCAGGAATGGAGTATAAGCTGGAAGAGGGCAGGGGAAAGAGGCTCAAGGAACACCCATATTTAAGGGTAGAGTAGAAAAACTAAGAGAATATGAGACTAGGAGATTATTAATAATGACCTTTGGGAGTACAACATCTCTGAAGTGCTATAGGTAGAGACAGATTTCCAACTTCAGAACTGTCAGGCATTTTGGTGGTAAAAGTGTAGAGCCATGAATCAAAAAGCTGAGGGAAGGTGTTTTTTGGAAGCAGGGGGTGGAAGGAGTAGGGAGATGCAGGCCGGAGTGTGTGGATAAAGGAGACTGAGCACAGCCATTTCTAGTACAACAACCACAAAAATTAACCTCTAACTATAGAAAAAAAACAACAACAGTTTGGGAGCATTACTTATCTTTTGAAATATGCAAGAGAGGAGTAAGGACTAGAAGAGCAGGATTGTGAAAAAGGTCAAGGGGAAAAAAATCAATAGCCCAAGGACAACAGCTACTTCACCATGGGATGGTAAAACGTTATTTCAATAAAACAATTTCTTGGAAGGAATTCGAAACAGGTATACCATATGCTTTATGCCGAGTTTTATAAATTTATGAAATAACTCAAGCATACATGAAATATTTTAATAGTGAAATGATACTATATTCATAATGGTCTTGTACTTGGTCCCTCCTAGATTGCTTTTTCTTTTAGATTGTTTTATGTTATTACCTGCCGGCTGAATGTATTCTGTACATGCATCCAGTAATCCTCAACTGGATCATAACAGTATATTGCCTTGGTCAGTCCACCAGCAACATAGATCAGGTTGTTTAAGGATACAGCTGTTATACACCTCTTGGCAATTGGGATAGCTGCACGAAGTAGCCAAGAATTGGTTTCTGGATCATAAGATTGAACCTAATAATATATAGAAATATTTAATTAAAATTTCTAAACAAAAATGCAAATTTGCTTAATAAGTCAACCAGTATATAGAAACATGATTAAAAATCAAATCCCATTAATTCAAAGAATTAGGGGAGGTTAGCTTGATAGTGAAATGTCTGAATTATGAAACTCTCAAAGGAAATGCAAATGTATTACTATCAAGCAGAACGAAGTAACAAACAGATTGCTTCCAGGATGAATGGCTGCCAGGTTTGGTTTACTTATTTCTATTAACAGTTTAGATTTTTAAAAATTGTGTTATATAGGATAACTATGCTTCAATCTGAATATAATTTCTTTACATTTTTAGGGAGCCCTTTCTTCAAAAGAACACAAGGTAACCTCAATTCAGTATACGTACTTTGAATCATCACAAATTCTGAATTAATGAATTTTAAATATGTAACTTTTGGCCACATTATATTAAAAGTTAATTTAGAAAAAAATTGATTGAAAATTCAGCTAACTATTGCGAAACCAATTAGCAATAGATACTTGTTTCCAGGATTAGTATGGTATTTCCTGAGATGTCAGAGTGGCACAAGTTCTTTTGTCCTAGGAGTTCAAAGAAATGCAGCAACTTTGAGTCTTCTTCTATTTACATTACGGATGTTTCCTTTCCTCTGCTTTGGTCTAAAAAATACTTTTAAAGTATGCAGAAAATGACCCAGTTGGAAGAAATATAATTAGTTACTGTGTCTTAGCCTTTGCTAATTCACTTCCCAACTGTTTTGTGTGAATAATTTTTTGACTCTGTAGACTAACTATAGCAGTAAAAGGTTTATGACAATTATTTACTACAAGCTCTCAATATTGAGATTAGTCTCATTTCAAAAAGAGTGGACCATGCTTTTTACAGCAAATTGTTAGCTATACTAGGATTTTACTTCAGTAACTTGAAATTCAATGTTTTCTCCCAATAGTATGAAGTACCAGACAATTTTTAAAAGGCCCCGCACACTAAGAAACTTTGCTACCTATTTATAAGCCTTCTGTATTTCTCTTCTTGTATGTTATCACTGGTAATTTCTGTAAGAGAACATGGCTTACCTTATCAGAACAAGTATTATCATCGGGTCCTCCACCAATCACAAACAATTTGCCTACACAGCTAGTCACAGCAGGAGAACTCACTGCTTCCTTAAGGGGAGCAACTTCAGTCCATCGATTTGAAAAGGAATCGTAACATTCTACGCTGCTAAGTCTGTTTTGCCCATCATAGCCTCCAACAACATATACCTATATGTAAAATACATGGAAAAAATCTTAATTATCGAAAGTCTGAATTTTGAACTAGTTGGCTAAAAATGAAATTATCTCTCCCCTTTAATGAGCCCTTGATAACTATTAGGTGGTTGGAAAAGTGATGACGTATTTTTTGTGTTTTTCGTTGAAAAATGTGTCATGACTTTTCCAACAACCCAATATAACTGCAATATATTTAGCTCAATTTCTGACTTTAAAAAAAATTATCCCTCTTACCACTATGAAGGAGTCTTTTTAGGCATTTTTTTACAATAGCCCCTTCCAATGAAATTTTAACACCACAGATAATTGTACATCTGTTTGTGTACTGTATGTATATTTGTGCTTTATACATGAAACAGTACAGTTTTTTTCACACCCTCCAGAACAAATCTTTACCTCTGTAGGGATGATACTGCTCAAGTTGAGAATTACATGCTTGAGCTTAAATGCTCACATTCATGGATGATGAAAATATTCGATTATTATAAAGTAATAAAGCTACGAAATGAAAGATTAGGTAAGGATTACTAGAGACTGAGATCTTTGAAAGCAGGGCATATCTTGTTCTTCATTTTGGTATTTCCAAATGCCTAGAAAAGTACCTGACACATGGTGAACTCTATATTATATATTTCAAAGGACTTTCACATACATTTTCTTTTCAGAACTATGAGGAAGGTGGGGCAAATTAATATCTTCATGTGACAGGTGAATAAACAAGTCATTGAACGACTTACATGCAGAATAGTCCATTAAACATCATGAGATATGCAAGAAACTTTCAAAGGAGCTCTCCAGTTTAACATCCACAGTTCTTTTAATGGCCAGTCACATCAACTCTTCTCTCCATATCTAATTAACTACTAAGGCCTACTGAGTCTTCTTGCACATCTCTCTTGCGTATCTCTCACATCTGTCCCTTCCTTTTGTTTCCCATTGCCACTAATCTTCCTCAGGGTCCGTATCATTTCATACCTCTCCATCTCCTGGTCTCCACTCTAAACCACAGATTAATCTTCCTGAAATACCTCATTAACTCCTTTTAATAGTTCAACAATGAATGCATAAGGCTCAAGGCCAAACTTTATACATTGTCATTCAATGTATAAGTCTGTCTACAATTTATCTTTCTGTGTTCTTCCAAATTTCCATAGCAACCAATGCCATTTCTATTTTGCATTTCTCGCATTATGTTAAAATGATCTGTTGGTGGATCTGTTCTCCTAACACCATGCAGCTCAGAGAGGTTAAGTAACTTATTCAAGGTAATACAGTTAGAAGGGGTATGAAAACTGTGGTACAATGTAGCAATTAAGGACACAGGCTTTGAAGTCAGGAGAGGAAGGGTTCCTATCTAGTTCAGCCACACACTGTAAGACGTTGGGCAGTTTACTTATCCTCTCTGAGACTGCCTTAATTTTCTCAATTTAAAAATGTAGACAATAATAGTATCTATCACATAATATAATTTTGAGGATTAATCTTTTTTTTTTTTAATTGGGGAATTGGGGGATGGGAACAGCTCTGGGGAATTGGGGAAGGGGAATAGACAAATTGCTGTCCTTTTGTTCTTCAGTCTAGTTGTGGAGGACGTTGCTTCACTGGCCCAAGTTGGCACCATCATTGTGCTCTTCCTGGGCGAGGCAGATCAGTCCCCGGCTTCTGGACGGCCGCTCACGGTGGCTGCTGGCCGCTCACGCTGGCTACTGGTTACACACGGTAGCCCATGGCAACCCACTGCAGCAGGGGCTGCAGCCTACGCCAACGCCAGCGACTTATGGCAGACCAGCTCCAGGTTGAGCTGTTGTTCAGCATCTTAGCTGTGGAGGGCAGTGTCACTGGCCCTCATATGTGGAATCCAAACCGGGGCCCTCTGGGGTCCCAAGACAGCTCTTAACCCCCACGCCACTCGACCGGCCCGAGGATTAAACTTTAATACCATTCCCATACACGTAGAAATTAAAAATATATGCTGTGAGCATCAAGGCAAAAGGCCTCTAGATTAAGAAAATCTGAGCTTTTGCTCCTGCTTTTATCACTTCTGTGTAACCCCGAACAAGTAACTAGATCTCCTGGGACTCAGCTTCTTTATGAATCGAAAACGTTACATTAAGTACTCTCTAAGATTCCTTCCTGCTTTAAGTTTCTATATTCCAAACCATCTCAGAGTTCTTTATAACTGAGAACATTTATAAATTTAAATAACTTTGTTTGAATTCAGCCTATATTGTAATTTTTAGGATAATGTAAATTTTAGGATTGAGTACTTGTATAAGGTAGGAAGCATTCCTTTTATTTCTTGATTTAATGATTTCAGGTTTTGAGTACCTTCACATCAAGTATATTAATATTTGTCAAAGAAATTTGTATTCACCAACCCATACGTAGCACTTGAGACATAATCATTTTCATTACCTTTGTTTGTCCAGACTAAGTAATTATATCTTTTTTTATATTTTATTTCCTCTACATCTATCTCAAAGTCCTCATTATTTCATTGACCTTGTCAACAGCAGCAGCACAATAGGTTCATTTCCTTAGGAATTGATAGTAGCTTTCAAAATGTGCTTTGAGGAGCTCTAGTACTCTACAGTATAGACATTTCAAGAAGCCTCTGTGGTGACGGGGAGGGAAGGACTGATGGGAGGCTGGGTAGGAAGGGTTCTGGCACCATCTCAGTTTCAATCAGAGTTTTGTTTTTTCATTGGTGGCTCTCAAATGTCTCTATAGGCGGGCTTAAGAGGTAGCTATCTTTTTAGAAAGGAGTGCTAGGGGACCAGTCAAAAATACACATGCAAGCAAGTATGCTGCTTTTGCTTGGTCTGTTCATCAATTTGAGGTGGTTTTGGAGGAGATGATACAGATGGAGGCAGGGAAAAGCTAAAGAGCCTCACTAGTCCTTGGTATAACTGCTGTATTTTTATCTGTTTTATGGAATGGACTTTTATATTAGATTTAACTTTTAAAAAGAGGGTGTAGTTGCTTTGGAAAAGTTTGGAACCACTAGTCTACAAGTGATTCTCAAGTTCCTAAGGATGGTGAATGGTTCAGAACCAAATTATATATTTTTTAATAATATTTATTTGCTGTAGTCGATAAGAAGTTTTCTTTAAAATACATTATTGAGTTTATCTTAACCCTTATTTTAAATTTGTTTTGTCCTTATTTATACAAATAAAAAAGCTAAAATAACATCACGGTAGATAAAAATTTGTCTGCCTGACTGCCAAAGTCAGTAAAAGGAAAAAGATGCTTGGATTAGACATTAGCCTGTGTTTGTACTTGATGTAACGCCTTTATTTTCCAATGCTTCTTAGGCATTTAGACTCCAGTGGTGCATGAATGTGCTGCACTGCCACAAATTCCAACTTGGGAGAACAAAATAGCCTTTCAAAAGTACAGTGTCAAATTGTTTATATCTTCAGTTTATCTATTGAGGTTAGAAATGGAAGGAAATACAATTTGAATCCAAAATACCCAGAGGGTGAGTAAAATGAAGGATTCAGCTGTGGTATTTGTTTTGGAAATGTATCAGCAATAGTAATAAAAAGTGGTTTGTCTTACTTTACCAAGGAGGACAGCCATTTTGTGACGCCATCTGCCTTTATTTAGAGAAGCAACTCTGATCCAAATATTTAACTGTGAATTATAAATCCAGACATCACGGCCATTGATTCTTCCACCTTTAAATGCAAAACAGTGCACACACAGTAATATACATATATATCACCAATAATATACATATATAAACATGGGATTTATTCACTCAGTCCAAGAATTTGAGAATTCCGTTCAGTAAGTGAAACAAGGATCCTCTTACAACTTAATGGAAATAGTTCTACAGAGCAGATTTAAACTTTGCAAATTGTTATCTTGAGAAATAATAATTACAGGCCCCAAATAATAAAATTCAGACTATTAATTTTACAAATGCATTGTTAAGTTAACCATTTTTAATTTTAGGAGTCAGGCATCAGGAGCACCCAAACAACAGAATTATTTTTAAAAGATTTAAAAAAAATAACCCATTTTTAAAAAAGCATACCACTGTATAAAATAAATGTTATTATACTGTTCAATATATAGTAATATCTGCAAAGCTGGTAATGAAAAATTAACAGTTTTCAGACCATAGATACTGTAGTTATACTTCGTATAGCCTGTCATTTTATTGCCTTGTTTGAGAGGTAGCATATCACATATTATAAAAAAAAAAAAGTTCAAGAATTTTGACAAAAATCCTATTTCATAAACTTTGGGGAGAACCTCAGAAAACATGGGTGGGTTAGAGATGCTAAATTCTAGAATACTTCTGACTTTGCATACTTTACCATGCTCCTTAAAACAAACAGGTAAAAGTATTAAAAAATTATACCATATTCTATTTGCATTTGAGAACATTTAAAATATATGATTAAAGGCATTTTCTGGTGGATCTTTTGTAAATCACTTTGTATCACCTTGTGTCTGTTATGAAGAGCAAAGTCATTCTCAGTTTTATTTGTTGTATAAACTGATCTGCCTAAAGTGGGCATGTCCACATTCACTGTTTTCTTTTGAGACACTGTTATCATTTGAAACAGCTATGCTACGTTCAAATTAAAAGTAGCTACTATAATAATTCTTATTTACCTGAAACAAGAATGTCATTCCTTAGAGCACAGACCGCATACTCCGATTTGGTAAATTCTGGAAGCTTAGCTAAAGACTTCCATTCTCCTGTCACAGGGTCATAGCATTCAGTGTACGGAAGATTAAATCCTCCAACTCGTTCACAGCCTCCAACGACAACTATCACCTCAGAATAGCCAGTTGACCTAAAATAATCATTATAAGAATGAATAAATAATAAATTGAAATATACTCAAGAGTGATAAAACCCTAATAACAAACCATCATAAAGTGGAACACTAATATAAATAGTTAAGTTTATTCTCTATGTGCAAGTGCCAAATAATACAGGTTACCAATTATTATTTCCAGAACTTTTATAAGGGAGTTAGTGACATCATTTTGCCACAGAAAATTCCTGTGGGTATATTTTTCTAGAAGTTTTGCCATCAAAAATTGTAAAGCAGTCCAAAGATTCTACGTAACTCAACTGGAACGCTGATAATATTAAGGATGACTTTGAAATGAAGTTTTACAGCAATTCAGATATGCATAACCACACAAGGTAAGATAAAGCACTTTTTCTAAGTGTAGGAAAACGTTGCTTTTTCATCAGATTGTTAGCTCTAAAAAAACCAATTCACTGTATGACCTAATACCATTTAAAGGACTACAGTCATAAACCACGTAACGACATTTTGGTCAACAACAGACTGCATATAGAAGGGTGGTCCCATAAGATTATAATGGAGCTGAAAAATTCCTATTGCCTAGTGATATCATAGCTATGATGACATCATAGCCATCATAACATCATAGCACAATGCATTACTCAAGTGCTTGTGGTGATGCTGGTGTAAATGAACATACTGCACTGCCAGTCATATAAAGTATAACATGTACGATTATGTACAGGACATAATACTTGACAGTAAGTGACTATGTTATTGGTTTATGTATTTACTATACTTTTTATTTGCTGTGAAACAGTATGCCATATTACACTTGGCAGCAGCCTCAAACATCTTCTGTTTATCACATCTCTTGATTGCAGCATTTTTCTTGTGTTTGAATTAATCTCATGTTGTTTCGTACAGTAACATGCTGTAGAGGCATGTAGCCCAGGAGCATAGTCTATACCATACAGCCTAGGTGTGTGTAAGTGCACACTATGTTTGCACAACGATGAAATTGTGTAATGATGCATGTTTCCGAACACGTCCCTGTCTTTAAGTGACACATGATTATATATATATGTACATATATTTGCTCAAAAATTATGTTTTAAAATAAAATTTTAAAAGTTAAGTAAATTAAGGTAATCCAACTCAAAATGTTGGGTAGTTGCTAAAACTGTTACTAAAGTAATAGCAAAGAACAATCAATACTATAAAAAAATATGTCTGGAAAGAATATACCAAAATACTAATGGTTGTCTCTGGATTGTGTAGCTTCCCATTTTCCATCAACACAAGTTTTCAAAACAATAATGAGCATTTTTAGAATGGGAAAAAACAACTTTAAAGAGCACTATGAGGTTTACATTAAACACTGGCTTCTTGAATATTTTGTAGTTTAAATTTAAGATAGAGACAGGAAAAACTAAGAGCTTATCCAAGCTTCTTTTATTCATAAGAGCCAACAGATAGTTTTGGAATTTTAGTTATTTGACTTTTATATTTCACAAATGTAATCGAAATGAAAAAGTCTTGTAATTGCATTTTTTTTTAGATTTTATTTTTAATTGGGGAATTGGGGGAAGGGGAACAGACAAGTTGCTGTCCTTTTGCTCTTCATTCTAGTTTTTGGAGGACATTGCTTCACTGGCCCAAGTTAGCACCATCATTGCGCTCTTCCCGGGCGAGGCAGATCAGTCGCCGGCTTCTGAACAGCCGCTCACAGCGGCTGCTAGCAACACACGGTAGCCCATGGCAACCCACTGCAGCAGGGGCTGCAGCCTATGCTGTAGCCGGCGACTCACAGCAGCCCAGCTCCAGGTTGAGCTGTTGTTCAGCATCTTAGCTGTGGAGGGCAGTGTCACTGGCCATCATATGTGGGATCCGAACCGGGGCCCTCTGGCGTCCCAAGCCAGCTCTTAACCAACGCGCCACTTGGCCGGCCCTGTAATTGCATTTTATGGTTGCTACAATATTAAGTCTCAAGAAGAAAAAATGCTAACGTCTCTTATTTAAAGTGGAGGGAAAAAAGACTGCATCAGAATGCTGATTTGTAGTTTTAGTCAGCGTCATGTTTCACAATTACACGAGAAAACGAATTCAGCAATATTGCTATGTCCCTTTAATAGAGCTGCTATATTCTAGCTCCATTTACTCAGTTATTTCAACTGATTAAATCAAAAGTATGCCAGGCATACTTTTTCCATTATAACATCAGAAATATATATTGTAGAAGAGAATTTTGTTCACAGATTCAATAAAAATTATTTTTAGGAACCCAGCAAATCATATAACCCAAACCTAGTTTATAGTAAAACATTATTAGAAGGACTCAAATAGTATCAATAACATTTACTATCTTCCAAATAATTCCAAAATGAAAATATTAGGAGTAAATAGAGGATAGCACCAGACACTTAGTAGAATAACTAGTGACTCATTCTTCTTTCCATAGGAGTATCATTCCCTAAAATCATACTTAAAATACCTCTAAGACAAATCCGTGTGATTATTCCTTAAAGCCTTATTTATTGATTGATCAAAACAAAAATTGCTAAATATTGTAACTGAGGTTCAATTACTTCTAATTGTTTTAATGTAAAATCAATGTAATTATGATAAAGAATTTTGTTTTATATTTCCCTTGTAACATTTTACTTGTTTTTTATACTTTGCTTGAATTTTCTTGTCTTTATAGACTTCTTAGCTTAATAAACACATATTGTCTTGTTTTTGTACACCTTGGAACGAGAAAACAGTACAAAAAGTTAATGGCCAAGTGGTGCGTTGGCTAAGAGCTGGCTTGGGATGCCAGCTCTGAGCAGCAGGGCCCCAGTTTGGATCCCACATATGAGGGCCAGTGACACTGTCCTCTACAGCTAAGATGGTGAACAACAGCTGGACCTGGAGCTGGGTGGCCGTGAGTCGCCGGCGACAGCGTAGGCTGCAGCCCCTGCTACAGTGGGCTGCCAGAAGCTACCGTGTGTGTGGCCGGCAGCCAGCGTGAGCGGCCAGCAGCCGGCATGAGCTACCAAGGGCTGCTGTGAGCGGCCGTCCAGTGGCTGGCGACTGATCTGCCTCACCCGGGAAGAGCGCAATGATAATACCAACATGGGCCAGTGAAGCAACATCATCCACAACTAGACTGAAGAACAAAAGGACAGCAACTTGTCTGTTCCCCTCCCCCAATTCCCCGATAAAATCTTAGAAAAAAAAAGTTAATGGCTAAAATACTTAATCCCATTAAACAAAGGATCATTTCAATGTCTACTGGAATTTGCATTTATCTGGAAGGATCAGCAAACTAGTAATAGTTTTACCTGTGCTGAAGGTCCTATTTGCGCCAAATGGCTTTTAACTTAGAGATGTCTGGTGTTCTCATTAGAGACTGTTAATCCAATAAAAGTTATTTTTATATCTTGATCTTGGAAAAATACTTATCTCAGGCTGAGCTGATTGTCTTAAAGGAAGTTACACCAGCTGATAATGGCAATTAGAATAAAAAGGCAGTCAAGACGATAGTACAGGATGAATAAAATTGTGGATACTCCTACAATCTATACGTAAGAGTGAATGTTACTTTATTTTACTAATCCTTTAAAGTAAAAATTCTGATTTCCTGCTGTGATGAAATAACAAATATTTGCTGCGTTAGTACTAAGTCTCACCATTTGTTTCTAGGGAAGTATGACAACCAAATTATACTTTTTCTACAGTGGTAAATATTTTTTAAAAATTATCATCTTTCATCATAAGGTTAAGAAAAATTCAACATAAAAGATCACACTCTTTGATTTATATGAAAGGTAAAATAATTACAAATCCACAGGATATTCTAAACCAAATCAACAAAATGTGTATTAATGTCCAGGTTCAGTTAAGAATCTCAAAAGGTAAAATACAGAACTTAATGGCTGAAATAACAAACCCACTTATTATTAATGCCAAATGTGCCAGAGAGAGGTGAATTGCCACACTAATTTTCATCAACAAAAAGGGGTCAAAAGGTGACCCTGGCTGAGAAGATTAACTGATTAAAAAAAGATAGGAAATAGGAAATGTAGTATGTTCTCATATAGTGGAAAGTTGGAAGGGAGGAGAGATGTTAGTGGTATAGTCTAGTCACCATTCCAAGACTCAAATATGTCTGAAAACCATGACATCAATCCAATATAATGGACTGAAATAAAAATATGAGGCTTTCAGCCCTTAAGAGAAGGAATAGCTCCTTGGTTGAAATACAGATTGGAAGATAATTTTATACAGTATTTACCAAAATTAAAAATGCATGTATCCTTTGAGCAATTCCACTTCTAGTAATTCATGCTATAAATTATCAGTGTATGTATGCAGACACATGTACATGAATATTCACTGAACACTGTTTGCAATGGCAAAAATAGATAAACAACCTAAATAAATGTCCATGATTAAGAGATGAATAAAATAAATTATGGTATCCATAAATGGGGTGCTATACAGGTTTTTAAAAAGAATGAATTTGAAAATGTCCATAATAAAAAGTAAAAAATAAATAAAAATAAAGACCTATATGTGGTGATATAGAATTACCAAGATAGTTTTAAGTAATAACAAGATGCAAAAATGGTACCCTACCATTTATATAAACCAAAGTAGGGAGGAATGTGTGTACACACGTACACACACACACACACACACACTTCTATATGCAAAGAATATTTCTTAAAAGAGTTCAAGAATCTGTAACAGGAGTATCCTTTGGGAAGAACTGATATACCAAGGGTTAGGTAGAGGAGTCTTACAATGTATACTTTTATGTAAAAATGTTTTAAATTCAAAATAACAATGAATTAACATGTACAAAAATGGGAAACATGCATCCTATAATATAGTAGAATAACATTCTTAAGAGGGAGTGGAAGAAAAATTCAGAACATTGAATTTTAACCCTAGCTCTGCCACTAAGCAATTTTGTGACCAAGAGCAAGTTGGTTCACTTAGCTGTGCCTCAGTTGTATCACCCATAAAATAAGAAATAAAGGCATTTATTAAATAATCTTAAAATACTACTTCTTTAAAAAAATCTTTATCTTAGTTTTCTCAGCTGGTTTCTAATAGGAACTTGGACTTGTCCTCATTATGGAAATTATGTTCCTATATTCATTATCTAGTAACTGATTAGTAGACAAGAGGTAGTAGCTTTTAAATCTTAGTCATCTCTATTGCTCAATGGAGTATGGCAAAGAACATCAATCTTTTTCCATATACGAACAATTTATGCTTAAAATAAAACGTTTGATAGCAAGCATTTCTACCTCTCAAACCACATTTCCTATTCTATAAAAGTATAGCATAAATTTAAAATGTGTTTTATTTTCTTCATGAAACCAGTAATTTTTATTAGGCATATTTGTGTCAAATGCTAGGTTATGCATTTTTTCATATGGTATCTCCAATCCTCCCAACAATCTTACAAGGTAGGTAGTATCATGCTTATTTTACAGATGAGAAACTGATATGTAGAGAACTTAAAGTGCCTTGCCCAAGGTCATGGAATTAACTACTTGTGTAGAGCCAGATTCTAATCCAGGCTAGTTGATTCTGAAACCAGTACTCTGACCACATCATGATGCTTGCACTTGGTGTTTGTACAGAGATTTAAAGTGGCATAATATGTTAATAAAAACACAATGATTGTTCCTAAGCTTTATTCCTTCTGTGATTGGTCTCCACTGTTTTCTCTCCACGCACCCAAGGGTTTGCAACTGGGAGTGCAGACTATCAAAACGTTCATGCTCTTGGATGCATCTTGGGGTTTCTTCTGTCCTTTAAGAGACACGTGGGTATATATAGGTAGAATACCCAGTATGGGTTAAGATCTGGAGAATACTTGGTATGGGTAAACATTAAAGAATTACTGGCTGATGTGAGGACTCTAACCTAACTGTTCAGTGGTGGGATCAGACTGTTATCACTCTAATCTGGAGTTAATCTTTGCATTGCTAATTGTAAGACAACCAGATATGCTGTGTCTCCTAATGTGACGCATTACCGAAGATGAACTCCAGTCAAAAATATTTAACTGGTCTCCACTAAGCTGAAGCTTGCAGAGCCAACTTACAGTTTCCAGGAAACATAGCTCAGTGACACCATAAGGAAGCAACCAGGCTAATACAGAAGGTGTAATATTTTTTTTCCGGACAACTTTACCATCAACAAGTCAGAACCATGAAAAAGAAATTGTTCTGGAATAAAAAAGCCTTCATGGAAATAACCAGATGCAATGAGTGATCCTGGGTTGGATCAAGGTTCTTTAGGAGAAATTTGAATATGGATTGGGTATTAGATAATAAAGAATTATTACTAACTTTACATGTGATGTTATTTTGCCTATGTTATTTTTTTAAAGGTGCATCCACAAGTAAAAAAAAAATACACACACACACACATATAAAATTTTAACATTGGTTGAATGAATGAATGAATGAATGAAAGAGAAAAGTCTGGGCTGGAGATATAGGTTTGACAGTCAATAGCATGCATGGTAATTAAAACAATGAGAATAGATGAGATCACCTAGGAAAGTATACAAGGCAAGACAAAGAGATGTGGACCAAAGGGACTATCAACATTTCCAAGACTAGATATAGAACCATCAAACTTTCTGAAAAAGAGCAGCTGGAGAAGTAAGAGTACCACGAGGAAAATGGTACTACACAAGCTCAAGGAGAGTTTCAAGAGGGATTAAAGCAATTAATAATGTGAAATCCTAACGAGAGATCAAGCTGGATAAAGACTGAAAAGAGATGTCTAACAAATAATAAATAGAAGGTCAGTGATGACCTGATTGAGAGGAGTTTCAGTAGAGTGACTGGAGCAGAAGTCAGAGGAGTGAACTGCAGTTGAAGAAGTGGAGACATCACTCCTTTTTCAAAGAAGTTTGAAGTTTTTCAGAAAGATGAGAACCTGTACAAATAATACACATTGTTCAGATAATGAAATTCCTAGTGACTGGTACTAACATGCAGTAATAAATAAGTGAAAGACAGAATATAAGGGGCAGAAGTTGATGGCAGAGTTGTAAAATAAAGGATTCCTCTTTACATGCCTCACATAATGCCTACATAAAATAAATATCTGCAATTACATCTCTAATAGTCTGCAAATTCAATATAACTAGTTTGATTTTTTTCTACTTGCCTCCTAAAAAGGTGATATATGGTAATCTTAGATGTGTTTCACTGTATAGAATGGATTGGCTCCCTTAAAAATTAGATGTAAAATAAATTTTTGTAAAGCAAATAAATAATTAAGTGAGCCAGGAATATTTATTATCTAACCTAATCACCCTTAGGCTACAATCTGATTTCATTCAGGTCATATCTTTATAAATAATATTAATAATAAACTGCTTATGTTGATTTTACAACATATATCCCTTGGTCCCTATTCTAACCCTATGAGTTATGCAAGATAGGTATTATTAGCCCTGTTTGACCCCAAAACATTCTTGGGCTACAAGGGGACTCTGTTTGGAAAAAATGCATGATTTTCCCTTTGAAGAGATACTGTATATCCAGAAAAGTTCTGGAATAGTTCCAAAGCTGTTTAGCTTCCTTAATACATTTAAGAACCTTGGTCACTCCACATTCTTAAGCTCAGCCTGAGTCTCTTAACAGTCCTTAAAAGAGAAAAGGAACTTAAAAAAAAAATCAGTATATTTATAGAATAAAATTATTTGTTTTTGTCTTTTGTTAAAAGAATAAGAGTAAAATATTTTATATTTCTTTCCCAGAAAACAACTTTTTTGAAACTAAAATTCAGCTGATTTTTTTCATTTTGTTGAGCTATAATCGACGTTAAGTAGCTGACTTTGAAAAAAAAAATGTACTCTAACCCTAATACAAAAAGACATTACATTAATTTTTTTTTTGTAAAAATAGTTACCATTGTATCTAATTTATAAAAAGTTCAGACTGTCAAGTACTGGGAGTTTTCTTAAATTGGATCATACCTACACTATACTATGTAAATAATTAATAAGAAATAGCTAATATTGGGTTGTTGGAAAAGTCATGACGTATTTTTTCAGTTTTTCGTTGCAAAAATGCGTCATTACTTTTCCGACAACCTAATAATTTTAAAGCACTTTCTATGCATTTAAACATTTTCTATGATGAGTATCAAAAGGATTACTGCATTTAATAGTTTCAATGACAAAACCTATAAAGTAAGCATCATTTATCATTCTCATTTTACATATGAAAGAACAGATTACGTCTTGCTATATCCAAAGTCATAGATTTTAGTCATGTCATCTTACAATATGCTCAATTTTAATCATGCTCGAAACAATATTTATCAAGATCAAAGTTAAAAATGTGGTTTGAGAACTATACTAAATTCACAGGAAAAGTGGAGATAGTATTATAAAATAAAAATAAACACTAGTTATACAACAATGTGAATATATTTAACACTCTTGAATGGTAACTTAAATATGGTTAAGGTAGTAATTTTTATGTGTTTTTTGTCACAAAAAAACATACTGCCCTTAGCTTTATTAGAAAAGTATTATTATAAAAAAATTCTTTAGTATTTCTCACAATAGCCATTTCTCACTTATTCACAGTGAAGGACAGTCATTGCTTGGTATCCACAGGAGATGGGTTCTAGGATGCCCGCGGATACCAAATCGTGGATGCTCAGGTCCTTTATATAAAATGAGGTAGTATTTGCATGTAACCTGTATTTGCCTACACATCACTTCATTCACTTGGATTCAGTGTAGCGCTTGGTGTGGTAAATTCAAGTTTTGCCTTTTGGAACTTTCTGAGATTTCGTGCCCTCTTGTCCCCCAAATATTTTCAATCTGAGGTTGGATTTCGCACCCACAGATATGGAGGGCTGACTGTATGTTTAATAGTATTCCTTCTATTAGTAAGGCATGGAGTTATATTTCTATAGTCTGAGTTAAAAATCTACAGGTGTTTCACAGAAGTAACCCCTTGTAAGATACAAACATAGCACAATACTTAATTGCATCCCTGCCCTTTAACATTAATTTTCCAAATTCTGTATAATGATGTAATTTTTTTTAAGAAGAAAAAAAATTAAAAATTGAGATTGACATTAAATATAATAACTGTGGCAATGAGAAAAAAAGCTGAGGCTTGGGTTTTACATCTGAGAATCCACTTAATGTATACCAGCTTGCTTACTTCACTTCTGTATTTCATGTTGTCTGTTAGGAAAAAGGTTAGCCTGTGAATGTGCAAATTATTTTTTTATAAGTAGAGGTAGTCCAAAAGTGGCTGCTAAAGTGTTTAGCTACTTTATATACAAAGACCTTCTGGAAAGAAAAGTGGAATATTTTGGGACCCTACAAAGGTTACAAGAAATTACTAGAAATGTGTTGAGACATGCACAGTTACAAATACCCTTTGCAACACCCTCTGATAGCTCAGAACAACAATAACAAAAAAAGCTATCGTTGAATCTAGTCTTCAATGGGAGACATTCTAATGATTTACATAATCCAAATATTTATATAAATCCACATGTAAACAACACATATGAATAACTATACTGAGATTACATTCAACAGGGTTAAATTAAAAACAAAAACTTTTGTTAATTATATTGTAGATAATTTGTAAACAGTCTTCTCACCTTCGTGGCCTAGTCCTTGGGGACATCATCTCATTCCCAAGTATGTGGTACCGTCTTGCTTCATGCAACAATTGATAACACTCAGGAGAATTCTGGATCAATTGGTCCAACTCAACTGTTTGAACAAAGTAGTTGGGATGCAACAGAGGAAGTCTCACATGTGTCAGGAGCTCATGTAATAGTGGTCTTCTCAGATCAACAGCACGATAGACCCAACGCATGACAGCTTCAAAAACCATCTCCTCTTTACCAATAACAAGTTCATCACTACAAATATAATCGATAAGTTCATCTTTGTCAAGCTCAAGAAATTCTTCATGCTGAGACACATCCTCAAAAGTCTGTAATGCAAAATTCTTGCATTTTGTGAAGAGTGTTTTGAGTGAATGGGTATCAGCAAAGCGCTGGATTCCTAAGCAATTACAAGGATCAAGTTGCTCCTCCAAGAACTTGGCGCATGCATCGCGGAGAACACTGATCTGAAAGAGGCTTGATGTTTCAAAGAGATACTGTACGTTCTCTGTTGTGATCTTCACCTTTCCAGTATACACATACTGCAGAAAACATTCCATAGCTTCAGCTAAAATACCGTTGATTTCAACCAACATTTCTCGGCTTTCCCTGTGATCGTTACAAAACATAGCTCTGAAATAGCTACTACAGGCTGAGAGGACAGCTCTATGGCAAGGAAATTCTTTTCCTTCCACACAAATGATAACATCTGTGAACAAGCGGCTATCTCGGAATTCATTAAATATCTGGAGTATGTTTTCAGCATGGGACGATCCTGAGGAGAAGTCGAAAAACTCGTGGCCTGTCAGAGATTTTGGGTCCATCTCAAAAACTTTACGCTTAATTGCTGGGGAATCACGCACCCCGAGATCCTCTCTGTTTAGTCTTCGTCCCAATATTAGGACCATTGTTACATCAGTTGACTAAATAATTGCTGAGAAATGACTGCTAGGGATCTTCTTTATGTGGCTAAAAATTAAAAAAAAAGTGAAAACATTTCAATATGTAAAAAATTCAGTATTTTATTTTGATGTTAACACTATAACAAAATCACACCATTAATATATTTCATATAGGGTATACAGCACCATTTCATTTTAATAAAAATTGCATTTGCACAATGAGTAATAATTGTGGCGTAATTTGCATAGGACTCCTTATGCTCCCCTTCCCTCAGCTGAAAGAAAACTATGTAGTTTGTGAATTACTAATAACCTTGTCTCCAGTTTTGCATAGCAGGGTTTCATCTACTGACTGTAGAGTTAAGTCAGAATACTGTAAGACACAGAATCTGACTACAGTCAGAATCCTAATATAAGTGTTTCTCCCCCCAAAACAGGATGCCATCCTACATTCATAAGCCACAAATAAAATTGAAACTAGAGTCAACAATCTTAATTTAAGACTGTTTTGCATACCCTATCACACAATAAATTTTTTAAGTTCCTATGTGACATATGGGCAAGAAAATATGAAATATCAAAATCAAGAAGTAACTCATTCTATTATATATTCTTTTTCATATTCTTATTTATTCTTATCTTTGTCCTCCTTTTTCAATCACCCTAATGACCCATATTTCCTAGTTCCAATATTCACTAGATACTTCCAACTTTCATCAATTCCCTCATTGAATTTACTTAATTCTGTCACTTCCATTACTGTCATTATCAAGAAATACCTATTGTGTGTCAGTTATTGTCAAGACACTGTGCTAGGCCTATGGTTTAGAGATGTAAGGTACTGCTGTTGAGGGTACACACACACACACACACACACACACACATCATACATACATATATATTTGAGACAAAGCATATTCACAAAAAGATAAAATAACAATATAAGGCAACATAGACAACATTGGTATGGATAGTACAGTTCCCACTTAAGCTTCTATTAAATGTTTTCTTGCTTGTTCATATAAATTGGCACTTACTTTTCCTGAAGTCTAGGTGATAGGATTTTCCGTGAGCAGATGTACACCAGGCTATTCTAATTGTTTAGGGAAAAGTACCTGGCTGTAACAACATCTTAGGACACCTAAATGCTTGCATTCTGTACATAATCTTTTTCTCTTCCATTCCTCTCTCCATCCCCCATTTTGCAGGTAAAGTAAAAAAAAAAAAAAAAAATTCAAGCATTTTAACAAATGTAATAAAGACATGTAACACAAATGCTATTTTTATCTGGGGTCACTAGGTGAGGATTCAGAGGCAGTATGTTCATAGGGAAATCCCTGCTGAGGGCATGTGGACTGTGATTTTAAAAATCCTAAAATGACTGAAGAACGGTCATTTTGGTCCCCTCTAAGAATCCTGGCAAAAACTGAGGAAGTTCTTGGAAATCTACCATGTAAGACTTTAAGAGTTATTAAGAGCCAAATCTGTGTAATAATTTTGTATCTACTATTATAGTCTGACAAAACCTGGGGAGGCTCTATTTCCTTATATGCACTAAAAAACAACACAGACCACCACTAATTGTTTTTTTGGACTGCTTACCATGTGTCTGGCACTTTTTAAATTCTTCATATGGATTATTTAATTTAATCCTCATAATACCCTATGAGATTGTTGTTATAATTAACAAAAAAGCTGGTTTTACAACCTTAGGACTTCATATACAAGATTAAGACCGACTTTTCTAAATAGGCAGGAACTATTTACAAAGTAAGACTGATAGGAATAAACTTTCCCCTCACTTCTAAGTTAAGAAAAACAAACAAACATCAGAAAGTTCCAAGTATACTAATACATATACGCAATTTATTTTCTGAATGTGTAACAAAGGTTTGTAATGTAATGAAACAGTTATGGCAAAAAAAGCTCATGTAGGAGGCCTATTTAAATGAACACATACACAAGTAAAAAATAAACCCAAGAGAATGTCTATGAATGGCTGATTTTTGGAACAATGTTGACAAACTAACTACCAGATATTCAGTCAGTAAAATTAGTTTCTTTTAAATTTGAGGGAATATTTGTCTACACATGTTATGGTCCAAGTAAGCTAGATTTTGAACTGTAATATAATTATACTTTGGAAGTTTTAAGTGACAGATTTGCCTGACAACAAATAAAAACTTCATTTTGTTAATTTTATACCTAAATGAATAAAATTACCTCTGAATTTAAAATATTTTTTTAGTTTTAAACTGTATTAACATTAACCATAAATAAATAAATAAAGAGGTGTTTCTTCCCATGCTTTTTAAGATTTTCCTGATTACTTAGAGAGTTCATGTTTGCCTCATTGTAAGTCATCTAGCTTCTTGGGTTATACTGATAATGCAAGTATGTGCACGTCCACAGGCACATGCACATATATATGGGTTAAAATTTAAAAATTCATTTATAACACATATAATCATTTCTGAATTCCAAGCTCCCATACATGGGCAGTAGCATTTATATCAAATATGTTTATTTTTTATTTATTGTGAAATACACATTTCTAGAAGTAGTTTCAGCTGTACAACACAGTGCAATAGTTATACTTTTTACCCCTCGAGGTGACAACCCCCCGCCCCCAATCCACCGCCCCACTCCTGCCCCCCAATATCATACATACCTATTACAATTCCCTTGACTCCACTCCCACACTATACTCCACGTCCCATGACTAGAATATATATATATATATGTATATATACATATATATATACATATATATATATATATATATTCACTTATAGTTGACATACAATATTATACAACATCAGCTTCAGGTGTACAGTGCAGTGATCAAGCCTCTACCCCATCCATGATGCGGTCTCTCTAGCAAGATATGTGACCATCTGTCACCCTACAAAATATTTACAACATTATCAAATATGCTTTTAATCTGAAGTTATCTCGGTAACAGTTCAAAACACAGAAACCTATCCTCTCTAGAAAAAAATCACTGCTGAGCCTGAATGTCAACTTTTTTGTTGTTGAAACTGCAAAAAGTTCAAAACATGTAATATCATAAGTGATAAACATTCAATTATGATAAACATAAATAGATTGGTGATATAGAATATAACTCATATTTTAATCTTAATGCTTTACTAATCTAAATTCAAATTATGGTTGAATTAGATATCTCAGGTTCCTTAATCAAGAACTTAATCTTCAAATTAGCTTATTTAATTAAAATTCTTATTGCATTTCAGGTTTATAAAAAATTCACACTAACTAATGTTTTTCACTAATGATAGAATTACTGGCGCTAACAACAAAAATCTTAAGCCTTCTGCTTCCATACATTTTTCTTTTCTCAATGTTTAAGTGAAAATGTGTTCAGAATGCAAAACAGGTAACATGCTGCAAGAACTAAAAATTTCCCTAAAAGGGACAAGTAAGAAAACAAAAAGTTACTCTTTTCTGTATCTAGTAATCTTACTGTATTAGGTATTTGTTAGCTGGTATCTTACTGTATCTGATAAATTGGGAATAGCATATTGAATAAGTGTTAATATGAGGCTGATTAAAACTTTTTTTGAGTTAAGGATCTGTCTTTTTATGCTATTTTCTGCCCTTTATTCTCATAGCTGGTTCTTTAATTATTGACCAACAAGAGGTCTTCCACTGGTTTTATACTAAAACGTAAAACTAAAATCCTAGATTAGAGCAGCTATAAAATCACCTGCTATTACCAAGTATTCAACAGCAACAAGATACTCGTATTTATTTATTGCTTTATTTGTAAGACAGACTATCTCTTAGATCTGGGCTGTTTCCTTCCAAGCAGCTTTGGCCTGGCTTTTTGGACATCACTTACTTTCTCTGGACTTTCTGAAAACTCTCCCATTAACCAGTCTCCACAACAGCACAAAATACAAATTCTTCCTGTTGATTCCAGGGTAAGTGATTTGCACAGGAGGGTCTAAGAAATATGAGATGCATTTCAAAGTTTATCTTTTGGGCTTCCAGATGTAATTCACTTACCTTTGTTTTCCCATTTTACACAAGTAAAGTGTTTTAACTAGTAATGGAAAAAACAAGCAACTAAATAGGCATCTCTGGACAAAACAAGAGGAAAATGATTGTTCAAAGGAAATATAATTACTGAAAGCTGTATCTGTAAAGTTTGTGGATGAAAGGATGATCAGACTGCCTTGTCAATGACTGACTGATAAAAGTCACATGATTTGTCTAGAAAAGCTAATATCTCTTTTTCGCTCTTATTTCTTCCAGAGCTTTATTTCTAAAGCTACAGAGTTATTTGATAGGAAGACTTTTCTTAACCGAAAGATTCTTCTGGTTAAGGATACTCTAAGGTTTATTTCCAATTGCAGAACTCATAAATGTTGTAGGCCTTGTTTCTGGTTGCTAAGTGGATTTAAAATTATGTTTTTGGCTTATGTTCCAGAAAAATGAGTGGTGATAACTTATTTTAGTGTCTCTAAGACTGGGGAAAAATGTAAAGGAGGGACTAAGGATATCATGGAGTACAAAGGAGAGGGTTATTTGGTAGCGGAAATGACTGTGACACTGCCTTCCTTTATGATCTTAAGGTTAGAATTGTCCCTGTGACTCTGACTGGCCTAAGTGAACCCTGGTTAAAGAAAGGAAAGTGGTTTAGATTCTCTAATAAAAATGTTTCGATACTTTATAAATATTAAATACCTTTTCAGCATTTGCTTGATCAAAGCCTCAGTCAAAATATTTGTGTTGTCTTAATTTTCACACCTAAAATAAATGGAGAACAGCAACATATAAATCAGATACAAATCACTTCATGCAGAGTTGGCATTATTTACTAAGACGATGAAGAAAAGCTTTTAGTAGATTTCAGTTTCTGACTGGAAGTTTACTTTTGCATCAAAAAATCATTACTGAATAATAATTCCTTAGAGCAAATTAATAATTTTATGCTACTTTACATATAAATTAGTTTATCAACTTTACTTAATAATTTTACCCTGCAGTAAAGTTTCTTGAGTGAAAGATGAGTAAACAAATAAATATTCATGTCAACAGCAAACTAATGGTGGCACTGAGATGAGAAAATATATGTCCTGTGATAATTGTACATTGGGATATTTGAAGAGTGGTAATTAACATTTCATCTGAGTTTGGAGCCATTAAATAATTCTGAGTTGGTCTATCAATATTACCAACAGCAAATAGTTTAGTGATTATGTATTATATACCTATGGAATCAATTTCAGAAAATCTGAAGTATTCTGGGTAATTCACGGAAAAATTTTTCATTTTTAAACCATAGTTATCTAGATTATCCATATAAAATCTCTAAGCTTATCAAGTAATTTTTTAACCTTTTAATATATGAATGCATTTCTTCTGCTTTGTTGAACTTTATATACATTTAGTACCTGTAGAAACCAATTAATTCAGCACAATTCCCCCATTTTTTTTGGTGGCTGAGATGGAAAGGAATACTTAAGAGAAAAATACCAGCACCTTGAACTGTGCACAGAATAGCAATAGTATTTAAACACAAGCAGTTCTGGTTTCTGGTCCAGATATCTATAAATAGCACTCATAAATTCTTAACAAGTTAGGTGAATTCAAAAGTTGATGGTGAAGACCAAGCTATGGACTATGATGTTTCCTACAGATACACACAAACACACATCTATTCCCTGATTATTATGATTGAAAGATGAATATTATTTTGCATGTCTCTTGACTTGTAGAAGCAAGCCTAACTTGTATGTACCCTTGGTAAAGAATATTTCCATTTGGTCGAATAAGGGATTGTTAGTCCTATCTAAGTGCTTCTTCCCAATGGATAAGATCCTGAACCAACACAGAGATTCAGGTCAATTGAAGAAACACTTATAGAGAACTTACTCTGTCTGGCATTAAGGTCGTAAACATTGGATTCAGATCCAATTTCAGATTCTGTGGGATTGGCTAAGATTCGAACCAAGTAAGAACTCCAAGATTGATATTAAAATAGATTCAAATTCTCAATGTTGCCCTAGCAGAAGACACAGGTACAAGTTGGAATAGATTCTCTCATGATTAATCTGGTCTAGAATTATATGTTAAGGAATATAAGAGCAAGGCAATTCACCTGGACATTTTCTGCAGGGCTTTCAGGTACTACTTACAAGCCTAATAGGTAGTAAGGACAAGGGACAGAGGAGGTCAGCATACGAAGTCCAAATGAGATACATAATTTCAGAATTGATCTAGAGTGTAGCTGTACTGCAACCGAGCTTATTTTTCCTTCATAATGCAGGAATTCTATACAAAGAAAGAATTGACTATCAGCCTTAAAGATAGTATAGATTAATGAAGGGCTTATAAAGACTAATACATACCAGAAAGCAAAGGGAATCAACATTTTGACTAACATGGTCCCTACAACCTGCAGTAGTGAGTGCCACATGCTGTGCTCTGCACTACTTGATTTTCTCAAATTTAACCTTGAGTGAAGAATAACATAGCAGAGACAACAAAAAGACTAATAGCCAAGAGGAGGTTTATCTTTGAGGATACATATTAACTCAATAGAAAGAAAGCCAGAAAACAACTGCAACATAGTAAATCCATTATTTTAAAGTAACTAAAAAATTATATTTAACATGGTACTACATAAAACCAAGCAGTTTTTATAAATTTCAGATATTTTCACCCTATTTTCTCAATAGCTAATTTATTTATTTGAACCTTTCTATTCAATGACCACTTTTTTAAAATTACAAATTTACACATTTAAATTTTCAATTTAAAGCTTTACTCTTGGAGCAGTGATTCCTGAACCAAGTCTTACAAATGTAATATTTAAAATCTAGTCTTCAAGCTGCTATTTTCAACATTTCTAATTTCTTAATGGAACCACCAAGAACGTATTTACCCACTTAAGGTATGAGAAGCCAATTAAAACCTTAAATTTATTTGTCTAGAATTATAGCAACTAGTGATTATCCTTTCTTTACTAGAACCTCAAATGGCCAATACATTATGACTTTGATTAATGACAGAAACAGAAATAAGAAGTATCTGAAGATAAAAATTTAGGAGTGCTTAAATGTCCGACTAAACCATATGGTTCTAGAACTAAAAAAGAATACTATCTTTTCCCAAATCACAGAACAAAAAATATTGAATTTGTCCATTCAGTGTTTCTTTACCTGTCTTAAAACTTTTGGCTACTAATATTTCCCAGCCCCCAAAGAAAACAAAATTGTTAATCAGATATCACACCAGGTATTAATCTGTCCTATTGGGTCTACTCATGCTTCTCACCAGGCCTGACACATAAACAATGTCATTGGTTTTTATCCTGCTAACATGTTTCTTTTAGGTATTTAATGCATCATTTTATTTTAAAATCGAAAAGACCTATAAATATATTATAGTTATGCTTTCTGTTAGCAAAATTGTTTTTGACTCTCTTATTAGAATGAATTAAATCTGCAAGATCACACCATCCAGTGCTGTGCCACTTGAACAAGTTTGAGATCCAGTATTTTAGATGTTTTCTCCATGTATAAAAAGCGCTTTGTAAGTCAAGTGATTTTTATTTACCTTAATGGTGACACAAATTATTTACAAAAATAATTTTTAGAAGCCATTGAGTAAAGCCTAATTATATTTAAATACCAATTTAGTTGGCTTTAAAATGTGCCAAATGCTGAAAAATTGTAGCCCTTAGGTGATGAATTTAGGCCGAGTGACAAACTTCAATTAAAAAATGTAGGGGGCCGGCCGAGTGGCGCATTGGCTAGGAACTGGCTTAGGACACCATAGGGCCCCGGTTTGGATCCCACATATGAGAGCCAGTGACACTGCCCTCTGCAGCTAAGATGCTGAGCAGCAGCTCGACCTGGAGCTGGGCTGTCGTGAGTCGCCGGCGAAGGTGCAGGCTGCAGCCCCTGTGGCAGTGGGTTGCCATGGGCTACCTTGTGTGGCCAGCAGCCGCTGTAAGTGGCCATCCAGAAGCTGGCGACTGATCTGCCTCGCCCGGGAAGAGCGCAATGATGGTGCCAACTTGGGCCAGTGAAGCAACGTCCTCCACAACTAGACTGAAGAACAAAACGACAGCAACTTGTCTGTTCCCATCCCCCCAACTCCCCAATAAAAATCTTAAAAAAAAAAAAAATTTAGTTTAGCTATCCTGTTTTTAATAGAATAAGGTTCTAAAATATCAATGTTGTCAAGTGGCCACGTATTCTTCGTTTCAGTCACAAAAGAAATCGAATCATACAAAATGTATTTTTCATATACTGTACTTGAGAATATTTTCTATACATTTTTCATTATACAGTCCATACCTAAATATTTATTGAAAAAGAATGTCCCAAATTTCTAGATAAATGGATACACAAAAATAACTGCAGTCACTTACTTAATAAACAGTACTTATTTTTCACAAGCTTGACTTTGGGTTTTAATGAAATGGCAAAAACAACGAAGTTAAAACAAAGTTTTTTTTTAAAAAAAGCATTAATATTTTATTTTAGCCTGAACTCGGACAAAAGCCAGGAAAGTTTAAATTAAAGCTGATAGTCAGCTCTAACTCAGAATACTATTTCTTCCTCCTGTTTAGAGACTAAGTCACAGGCTTTGTCTGGATAAACAGGCTTTTGAGTGATGGTTTTTTTTTTTGTTTTTTTTAAAGAAGGTTAGAGGTTTGCATTTTGTACTTCTTTAGATATGTTAAAACCCCTGATGCACAAATGACCAGGCAGTTTGGGATCACAGAAGCTGCTCCTTCTAGTGTAGTCATCACCACTTCAATTTAAAAAATATATTAAAATGCATAACCAATGAGAACTGTTCATATTCAATTCCTGTTTCACCCAGGGGACTCAATCTATCTCCCACAGAAATTCATTAAGTTTTGGGTGAATTCCTCCAGATTTACAGGAAAAGAAAATCTGACAAAACTCAAGTACCCAATTTCCATGATCTTCTCATAAGGAAAACCGCATCTTCAACACACTATGGCTTAAATGATCCCGTACATTTAATTATTAGTCGTCTTAATTTATAATTTTAAAACAAGACATCTGCAATTCACTCACAAATTTTGAATCACCACAAGGATTATTAATACAAGGAAAACAGCTCAGCTAAACCGGGATGTAGAATCTTTTACTTTTAGGAGAATATCCTGAGGCCTTCCGTTTTTAGAAGACTAATTTTACATCTTAGTAGAAAAACAGGCAGATTTTAAATCTATTTTACGTACTTAATAAAAATCAATCTCAGTCGGTGGACCTAAACAGTCTGTAGCTGCAAATACTAACAGGTGATTTTTAAAAGCTGCTCGAAGAGCAAGTGATTAATCGTTAAAACCCACCAAAGCTAATTGTAGTCACTGCCTCAGGGGTGAGACTAGGGCACCCTAAAATGTGGCGTTCTAGACCTTAGTTATTTAAACTTTGTTTACAGAAACCGCAAAAACAAATTCGCAAAAGGACTTCCTTCCCACCATCTCGGCAGGTAAGGCGACATTAATTGGACTAACTTTGGGGTCCTCGCCGGCAGGCCGTGGCTGCCGGCCCCAGGTTGTTCAGAACTGCCCCGGCGCTGAAAGCAGCAGCGTGCCGGCGAGCAGACTCCGCCTGGCGCCCGTCTTCCGCGCGGGAGCGCGCGCCGCCGTCTCGCTCCGGCCGCAGCTGCACCAGGCGAGAGCGCGCGCTCCCGCGCGTCCTCCAGATCACCTTCAAGGGGGCGGGGAAGAACGGCTTGGGCAGGACTACCTAGCGACAAGACAGCCGCCCAATAAAAACTCGGAACTCGCCCCGTGGTCCCCGCCCTCGAAGAGCCGCAGGCCCCCAGTCCTGGCCGCGTTAACAGTCTTCGCCTCCAGCGCCCAGAACTTGAGGGCGGGGACATTAGGAATCCAATTAAAAAACCGAGTCCTGGAGTGGTGGGAAGGTGGGAAGGTTAGGCGGGGACTCCGCCGGCGGAACGCCCGCTCCTCCGCCCGCCCGGGTTCCCCGGGGACAGTCGCTCCAGGGCCGGGTTCACGGCGCAGGCCCCGCCGCGATCCGTGGTAAACAAAGGCTCGCGGGAGGGGGGCGGGGGTAACGGTCAGGTGACAGTGCCGAGCACATTTCGCAACCGCTTTAATGGGGTTTCTCTGGCCCGTATCCTCAGGACCCACCGTGACCCCGTCAGTCTTGCCCGACAGACAACGGTCGCCCCCACCAAAAGGGAAGGCTTGATTTGAGGCCTTCGCATTCTGTGCTTGCTTCGACTAAAAAATGAGCAGCGCCCCTTTCGAAGCCCCACGGCAACATGCGGGATCCGTCTACCCCAGCCCGGTCAACCAGCTGCCTCCGCGCCCGAGGCGGCGGGGGGACCCGCACCTGCTACCCCCAGCCCTAGATGCCATGCCCCTCCCAACCCGCCCCCCGGCGGGGCGCGTCAGCAGCGCCGCGGTTCCGGGGCGGCAGTGCCAGGAGGCTGGGGTGCCCTGCCTTCAGGACTGTCGTTAAGAGCCAGGACTGAAGACCCCCATGGGGGCTCCGGAGACCCCGCGCTCTAGTCAGAGGCCCTGCAGCCCCAGCCGCAGTCTCTCCTCAAACCCCCTCGTCTGGCTCAGAGAGGCGCGCCGCTGCTGGCTTCCCTCCTGCAGACACCCCCCGTGGTCGTGACCTCGGTCGCCCCTCCGCCCCCGGCTCTGGCGGGTTCCTCGCCTTTCGGCCAGTCCTGGAGCTGTCATCCCTGGGTACCTCTCGGCGAAGGCTGGAAGCGGCCAGCAGCAGTGGCCAGCAGCGGCTGTCCCTGCGGTCCCTTAGCGGTCAGCAGCGGAGCGCTCCCTTCAGCGCCAGCGTCTCCTCGAGCCACCACCAGGCTCTGCAGCAGCTCACAACAAAGGAAACATGTGACCGTCCGGGCCAAAACAGTGAACGTCACCGACTCCTGGCCAATCCTATTGGGCTTCCCCCCGCCCCCGGGCACCTTGGGAGATGTAGTTCCCATTCAGGGGGGCGACCGCGGAGGCCACTTAGTTTTCCCGCTGTGGGGCGATGTCGGGTGCGGAGCGTGACGAGAGGGGCTGATTCAGAAATACTATGTTTTCGATAGGGACAGGTTAAGGAGATGCACCCGTGTTAGGAGCCTAGTGAGAAACCTGAGTCGTATGTTTTTTGCCACGTCCAAGGCAAAAAGCACATCACCAAGAAGTCGCAGAATCTTAGAGTTTGGGACGAGGCTTAGAGATCTTATTAATTTGACCCCTTCTTAGCGAATTGTGAAATCTGAGGGCTTGATAGGTGAAAGGGATTAGAACCTGGTCGCTAGACGGCGCAGGGAAACCGTCTTTCTCTGTAAAACTGTTACTGTCACCTGTATCAAGTCCCAGGTTACCTTTTAGACATGCATGCAAATCATAGCTGTCGCGAATCCCTATTTTCCAAGGCACATAGATTCACCAAAGGACATTATTTTGTCTTTATTTCTGCAAATATTTTTTTCAAGGATGAGTCTATACCGCCTGACTTTCAAACATTTAACTAGTTTTTGGTTTCTAATATCATTTCTTTTCTTTATGAATAGAGTCATGTCTTTATTAAATAAGATATGTGTTGCAATGACCAGAGGTGTATATAATACAGAAGGCCTGTGTGCGGGCCTCTGAAACATGCTTTTAGGCTTCTTTTCTCTCTTAAAAATAAAAATGTCTGCCAGTTTTTGAGTTCCTACTAAGCTCCAGACTCAGTGCTAGGCACTTTACATAGGATTTCTGTCCTCATAATAACTCAGGAAGATAGGCGTTACTCTCCCATTTTACAGGTGAGAAACTAAGCAACAGGTAAGATGAAGAGTTGGCCCCTGGTCACTCAGTTATTAAGTCGTGAAGCTGGAGTGCACACATTGATTTTTTTAAAATAATTTTATTTATATTAGTATAGGAACACAATTGTCTTTCTAAATAGTTCATTTACAAAGTTAAATACTACAAGGCCAGTAGTGCAATAGCAATCCCACCTTTCACCCTTCCCCTTTCCTGATTCTCCAGAAACCACCCCTTTCAAGTGTTTGAATTCTTCTGGTATTTGAACATCTATATTGCTGTGTAGTGTATGGTTATTTCCTTTTAAGGAAATTGTCATCCCTGTCCCCCGTCTTTCCAATATTATAATTTCTGGTTATATAATTATTTAATGTTTATGTTACTAAGACTTCATATTTATTATTAAATGCAGAGTCAAAGAGTTTACAATTTCTTGTATGGATTTTTGTTTTTCCTGGAAAAGGCAGACAACTGAGCACCTGTGGGTCCTCACTGCTTTAATCAAGTCTCTGCTCCCTGGCGGCACATGTAAATTCCTTCCTAATGCACCCTGGGGTCTACCTCTGCAGCCTGAACACAAGCTTCAATGAACTACCCGCCTTTGCCTAGAGGACTCACCAGGCCATTCCCATTCATATCCTGCTCCTCATGCTTCCTATGCCCCCTCCTTCCCTTCAGCCCATTCACTAGGCAGCTCCTGCTCTTCTCTCCAGGAGTCAGTGTGTGGGTCCTCCCTCCTGGAAAACTCTCCTTTCCTCCCCATTTTCCTCTGGATTAGGTATCTCTGCCTTCCCACAGAAACTGGTCCTTACCTCCTTCCCAGCAGTTATCACACTTAACTGTCCATGTTTACTACGTGCCTTTCTCGACTGAGTACTTACTGAGATTCCTGAGGTCAGGGATCTTACCTTATTCATTTTGTATCATATCACACCTAAGTAGGTGTTTAATGTGTATCTGTTAACTGTTGGAATGATCTCTACTTCTTGAGGTTAAGGGGACGTGAGAGAAAGAAAAAAAAAAGTGCCACCAGACCCGCCTGGGAGCCACTTGGACTTGGCCGAATGATGAGGCCCTCAGAACTCTCTTGGGGCCGATGGGTATAGGGTGTTCAATCACAGCTGAGAGAAGGAAGGAGGGAGGGGCCCCATGGGACAGGTGGCCCTGGAGATAGGCAGAGGCCTACTGGAGGGTGTGGGAGCTCCTCAGGCAGCCAGAGTAGGAGTGGGTTCAGCATTGGTGGAGGACCCTGGAAGTTATGCCTACCCCACAAGTCAGTGAGCATGGCCATGCAGTAGCCTTTTTCTCAGCTGGGGCTGGAATATAAGCAGAGCTGTCCAGTCCAGGGGGCATCTTCTGAAACAGAGCGAGATTAAGCTGTAATGTGATTTATTTTATGCAGAGTTTACTATCCAGGTTGGCCTGGTCATTTGAAGGAGGCAGATACTTGGAGTCAGGGGAGCCTCTCCTTTCAGGGGTATAGTATTAATGTATCATTCCATATTCTGTCTTCTTGCAAATAGCACATGGCAGTCCTTGTTTTGCCCTCCAGAGAATCCATGACAGCCCCTAAGGTTTAAGGTTGCCAAGCATCCATAGTTCCTCCAGCCATTCTTTTTTTTTAAGATTTTTATTGGGGAATTGAGGGGATGGGAACAGTGCTGGGGAATTGGGGTAAGGGGAACAGACAAGTTGCTGTCGTTTTGTTCTTCAGTCTAGTTGTGGAGGACACCGCCTCACTGGCCCAAGTTGGCACCATCATTGCGCTCCTCCCGTGCGAGGCACACCAGTTGCCGGCCTTTGGACAGCTGCTCACGGCGGCCGCTGGCCGCTCACGCTGGCCGCTGGCCACACAGGGTAGCCCATGGCAACCCACTGCCACAGGGGCTGCAGCCTACGCCGTCGCCAGCAACCCACAGCAGCCCAGCTCCAGGTTGAGCCGCTGCCCAGCATCCCAGCTGTGGACACTGGCCCTCACACGTGGGATCCAGACCGGGGCCCTCTGGCATTCCAAGCCAGCCCCCAACCATCGCGCCACTTGGCGAGCCCTCCAGCCATTCTTTTTATTTTCTCTCCAGCCTGCTCTTTTCCTCCATGCATACAATCATCACTCTCTAAACACACCAAACACTTTCAGACCTTCCTGCCTCGGCTCTTGGCCTCTCGTATTTGAAGTCCCCCGTTCCCAATTGTAATAGAAATGTGGGTCCTCTTTTAAGGTTCATCTCTGGTGCCACCTCTTCTGTGGAGCCTTCTCGAAATCTGTCCTCTCCCCGCCACCTACCGTGAAGCCGGGCACACCTCCCTCATCCTTTAGAATGTGACACTCAGTCCCTGAATGCAACTGGGTGGTTTGACCAGCCATGGGCTCAGCACTTTGAGCTCTTCCTCCTCAACAAATCCAAAGTTGCATATCACTGATGAATGGAGATTTTACTGAAGGTTTCACAAAGAGAGAATTACATGGCATGTCACACCACAAAACTCCGTAACAATTTCCTTTAAACATCTCTGCTCCCTCACCTCAGCTCCTCTCTCAGCCGGCTTCTCTTCTCTCACCGAACACCCTCTCTCTGGGCCTCTCTCTAGCCACAAGCCTGGGTTTCCTCCTTCTCTATGATCTCTGCCACCTTCCGCCTAGACAACCTCCCACCCTCACCTCTTTTTCAGTAATTTGCTTTTTCACACATATCGCCTTTCAAACAAGAAAGTTCCAGTCTTCAGAAGACAGAGAATATCATAAATGATCTCTGCCTCCCCGCTTCCCTGTATTCCTCCACAGACATATTTAACATATCAGCAGGTCTGTTACACAATACCCCTCCGAGTGTTGAGTGAAGGGACGAGTAAACACAATACGTATACTATTTGCTCATGGCTCCTAAGTCTTGAGGACAACCTCTTCTCTCCCTTCTTCTCTGGTGAGGTTAGAGTGACTCAGCTCTGAAGTCCTTTTGGATGCAGAGGTCTGACTCTCCCTGGCTTTGTAGTTACCAGGGAAGTTTTGAGTTGCCCCACCTCCACCCAGACTGTCAGTCCTGGGCTCCCCTAGGCCAATGAAAACTTGGAGTCAAACATAGTAGCATTAGGATTCAACAAGGAAAGACATAGCTGGAAAATGTTCCATTTTGAGACCTGGGAAATGGGCTAGGTCTTCTGCCACCAGGAAAGTGAGCTCCCTCTCCCATCCCTGAGCTTTTCTTTGGGAGTGCAGTCTGCCACAAGGTGTCTTTCCTCACAACTAAAACAAAAGTGAGCTTCCTGTCTCCTGGGGGTGAGGTGGGGTAGAGTGGCAATCCTTGCTTTGTGTTTGAAACTTCCTTCACAGGTTGAAGTCAATCAGATGCCAGGACTTGGGTCCTCAGTGGCCTCAGGATCCTGTTTGTGCCCAAATTTGCCCACTAGATGCAGATAAAGGTGACGGGTCATCACTGTGAACCCTGGGCTCTGATTTCAGGGGGCCGAGGCATATTTGCATCCTCCCTGTACTGAGTCCCTGCTCTTCTCTTTATTCTTCTGCCCCAAGGATCTGTTATTACCTTCCTCTCTTCTTCCTTAATTACTTCCCCAGTAGAGAGAATTCAAGTGGACCCTCTGGTCTCAGAAGAAACCTGATTTTTTGTCATAAACTACTCCTGCTCTGATTGCTCTAGGTAGGCCTGATTCTCCAAGGGACAGATACCTCATAACACCTTTTCACATGACTTGCTGCAAAACCCTCTTAGGTATGAACATATACAGAAAGTGTCTTCTACTCATGGCATCTGGTCAGACACTCAGGCCAGTTTTAAAAATGACCACGTTCCCACTCTTAGCGCTGCTCAGCAGTCTGTCCCACAGATGGCTGTGAGTTCGTATAAAATTCCTGCTGCTGGCCCCAGCTGACTTTGACTTCATCTCCAATTTCTTGCCACCCTGTGACATTTAAGAGGCCTGTACTAATTCCAACTTGATCTTCTTATGCTGTACCTGGCCCTTCTCTCCTTTCCAATGCCTGCAGTTTCTGAGAGTGTGTCTTGTCCCTCTGTGGTTCCCTTTTGCTTGATGGGCAGCCCTCCCAGGAATCCTTCAGCAGGTATGTAAGGGCTGGACCTGTCCAATAATATCTACTGCAGATCTCCCCTGTTCTTGAAAAACCTCACCCAGTTTCTTAAGAAACTATGTCTGTTGAGGCTGGCACACCATCCTCCAGCCCAAGAATTCTCACTTTAGTAAGCTCACCTGATGCCATTGTTACTGGTCCAAAGTCCATGTGCCAGGCTCTTTGAAAGGCCAGAGCTCAAAATGTAAGTTTGGAGTAAGGAAAGGTTTATTGATTGAGAAGGTGCCAACAAAGAAGATGGAAAACCTAATGGTGCCTCAAATCCATCTTTAGAAAGTATAGAGGTCAGGCTTCTTTTATGTCAAGGGAAGGGGGAAATGGGAGGGCAAGAGGTGACTGATGACTGCAGGCATCTGGGTGCCAGCCGGGGTCAGGGGAAGATTGTGCTCAGTCTGTAGACTTTAGTTGATGTGAGCCTGGTCACCAGATTCCTGCAAATCTTTGATAAACAATACATACTTCTTTGTCCTCGAGGGGGGAGACACCCTCTGGTAAGGGGCTGATTTTGTAAAACTCAAGCCACAAGCAAAATTCCTCTAATGATTGGCATGTCTATATGCAAGACTAAGCA